ACCACATAGAAAGAACACACCCTGGCTCAACATATAGAGTCCCAGAGCCAGGGTGTTACAGTACCCCCCCCTAAAGGCGCGGACTGCGACCGCGCCTCAACTAGAGCAAAACAGGGGAGGGCTGGGTGGGCATTCCTCCTCGGCGGCGGTTCTGGCTCCGGCCTTGCCCACCACCCTCCAATAAACCCCCCATAGCGCCCCTGGTCCGGTCTGGCCCCGCTGGCTGGAGCTGAACTGGACGTAGCAGGAGCGGTGAGCTTCAGCTCCGTAGTGGAGCAGTTGACCGGTACCTTACCAGGCACCGGTGACCCAGGCACGGGTTGTGCTGGACTGACGACGCGCACCCCTGGCTTGGTGCGTGGAGCCGGAACGGGCCGGACCGGGCTGACGACTCGCACCCCTGGCTTGGTGCGTGGAGTAGGAACGGGCCGGACCGGGCTGACGATGCGCACCCCTGGCTTGGTGCGTGGAGTAGGAACAGGCCGGACCGGGCTGGCGACGCACACCGTAGGCTTGGTGCGAGGAGCAGGGACAGGCCGGACCGGGCTGGCGACGCACACCGTAGGCTTGGTGCGAGGAGCAGGGACAGGCCGGACCAGGCTGACGACTCGCACCCCTGGGCCGGGCCGGGCTGGAGACGCGCACCGTAGACTTGGTGCGAGTGGCAGGAACAGGCCGGGCCGGGCTGGCGACGCGCACCGTAGGCTTGGTGCGAGTGGCAGGAACAGGCCGGACCGGGCTGGCGACGCACACCATAGGCTTGGTGCGTGGAGCAGGGACAGGCCGGACCGGGCTGGCGACGCACACCGTAGGCTTGGTGCGAGGAGCAGGGACAGGCCGGACCGGGCTGGCGATGCACACCGTAGGCTTGGTGCGAGGAGCAGGGACAGGCCGGGCCGGGCTGTGGAGACGGATAGGAGACCTGGAGTGAAGAGCTGCCACAACCCGTCCTGGCTGAATGCCTACCCTCACACACTCTGTGTGAGGCATCAGCACAGGACGTACAGGGCTGTGTACCCGTACTGGCATAACAGCACGTGACACTGGCGCAGGATATCCGGGACCGAGGAGAGGCACTGGAGGCCACGAGCGCTGAGCCGGCACACTCCGTCCTGGCTGCATGCCCACCTTCGCACAACACGTGCGGGGTGCTCGCACAGGACGTACAGGACTATGCCGGACCACTCGTGGCACAGAACGCCGCTCCGCATACCGCGGAACCTGCCCAGTCCCATGCTGCCATGCCTGAGTACGGGAAGTTGGTTCCGCTCTCCATCCAGGCTCCGCCAACCTGCCTTCTGGCCCCCCAAACCCGGTGGCCTCCTCTCCAAATCGCCCTGTGGCAGCCTCCTGCTGCCCAGCCGCCCATGCCGTGTGCCCCCCCCTAAAAAATGTTTGGGGTTGCCTCTCGTCCGTCCGACGATGACACTGCTGACGCCGCTGCTCCTCTCTCGCCAGGGCCTTAATCCTAGCCCATGGCCCTTTGCCCCCGAGCATGTCCTCCCAGGACCACGATTTGCCCACCTGGGCCATCGCCAACCTCTCCATCTCCTTTCCCGGCGCTTCCTCCCATGTCCAGTCTGCCTGCTCCTGGACACGCTGCTTGGTCCTTGTATGGTGGGTTCTTCTGTCACGATCGTCGTTAAGAGAGGAGGACCAAGGCGCAGCGTGATGAACGAACATGTTTATTTATCATTAGCGATAAACACGGACAGTAAACAAAAACAACAAACGACTCGTAACGTCCTAGGTAACATAGACCAACACGGAACAAGAACCCACAAACACAAAGGGAAAAACAGACAGTTTAAATATGGCTCCCAATCAGAGACAACCAGCCAAAAGCTGACACTCGTTGCCTCTGATTGGGAGTCACTCAGGCCAACATAGAAATAAACAAACTAGAACTCCCAACATAGAAATACACCACATAGAAAGAACACACCCTGGCTCAACATATAGAGTCCCAGAGCCAGGGTGTTACAAGGCCCTTATACAGTGGGGGAAAAAAGTATTTAGTCAGCCACCAATTGTGCAAGTTCTCCCACTTAAAAATATGAGAGAGGCCTGTAATTTTCATCATAGGTACACGTCAACTATGACAGACAAATTGAGATTTTTTTTCTCCAGAAAATCACATTGTAGGATTTTTAATGAATTTATTTGCAAATTATGGTGGAAAATAAGTATTTGGTCACCTACAAACAAGCAAGATTTCTGGCTCTCACAGACCTGTAACTTCTTCTTTAAGAGGCTCCTCTGTCCTCCTCTCGTTACCTGTATTAATGGCACCTGTTTGAACTTATCATCAGTATAAAAGACACCTGTCCACAACCTCAAACAGTCACACTCCAAACTCCACTATGGCCAAGACCAAAGAGCTGTCAAAGGACACCAGAAACAAATTTGTGGACCTGCACCAGGCTGGGAAGACTGAATCTGCAATAGGTAAGCAGCTTGGTTTGAAGAAATCAACTGTGGGAGCAATTATTAGGAAATGAAAGACATACAAGACCACTGATAATCTCCCTCGATCTGGGGCTCCACGCAAGATCTCACCCCGTGGGGTCAAAATGATCACAAGAACGGTGAGCAAAAATCCCAGAACCACACGGGGGACCTAGTGAATTACCTGCAGAGAGCTGGGACCAAAGTAACAAAGCCTACCATCAGTAACACACTACGCCGCCAGGGACTCAAATCCTGCAGTGCCAGACGTGTCCCCCTGCTTAAGCCAGTACATGTCCAGGCCCGTCTGAAGTTTGCTAGAGTGCATTTGGATGATCCAGAAGAGGATTGGGAGAATGTCATATGGTCAGATGAAACCAAAATAGAACTTTTTGGTAAAAACTCAACTCGTCGTGTTTGGAGGACAAAGAATGCTGAGTTGCATCCAAAGAACACCATACCTACTGTGAAGCATGGGGGTGGAAACATCATGCTTTGGGGCTGTTTTTCTGCAAAGGGACCAGGACGACTGATCCGTGTAAAGGAAAGAATGAATGGGGCCATGTATCGTGAGATTTTGAGTGAAAACCTCCTTCCATCAGCAAGGGCATTGAAGATGAAACGTGGCTGGGTCTTTCAGCATGACAATGATCCCAAACACACCGCCCGGGCAACGAAGGAGTGGCTTCGTAAGAAGCATTTCAAGGTCGTGGAGTGGCCTAGCCAGTCTCCAGATCTCAACCCCATAGAAAATCTTTGGAGGGAGTTGAAAGTCCGTGTTGCCCAGCGACAGCCCCAAAACATCACTGCTCTAGAGGAGATCTGCATGGAGGAATGGGCCAAAATACCAGCAACAGTGTGTGAAAACCTTGTGAAGACTTACAGAAAACGTTTGACCTGTGTCATTGCCAACAAAGGGTATATAACAAAGTATTGAGAAACTTTTGTTATTGACCAAATACTTATTTTCCACCATAATTTGCAAATAAATTCATAAAAAATCCTACGTGATTTTCTGGATTTTTAAAAATCATTTTGTCTGTCATAGTTGACGTGTACCTATGATGAAAATTACAGGCCTCTCTCATCTTTTTAAGTGGGAGAACTTGCACAATTGGTGGCTGACTAAATACTTTTTTCCCCCACTGTATTTAGCTAATAAATGATGGGTTAATATGCATAGGCTCTTAGCGATTTGTAGTTTAAGTTAGAAACCTATCTGTCTTCAGCCAAAATAACTGGTGGGGAGTTTGAAAGGAGAGAAAGCGCGCAATGGTGTGATCACATCCAACGTGGATCAAAAAAGCTACTTTCTGAAATGTATATTTCTTTACATGATCAGAAAGAGAAGATTCTAATGGTTCTACAGCAAAGAAAATTAGGACATGGGCTCTGTTTTAAAATACACTGTCACATTCGTTGTATAAAGGATTGGACCAAGGTGCAGCGTGGTATGCGTACATGTTTAATTATTAAATAAACACTTGACAAAATAACAAAAGCAACTGACCGTGAAGTTTTAAACGCTAACAGCAACAAGCCTAAACTGAAACGGAAACAAGATCCCACAACTAAAGGTATGCTAAATGGCTGCCTAAGTATGATCCCCAATCAGAGACAACGATGGACAGCTGCCTCTGATTGGGAACCACATCCGGCCAACATAGAAATAGAATACACTAGATTCTATCCAAATCACACCCTGACCTAACCAAACAGAGAATACAGGTGATCTCTAAGGTCAGGGCGTGACATACACGTTTTTTGTCATATGACAGCGGTTCCACACGGTCTGTGACACTCAATTTTTGTGGGAAAGATATTATTTATATTTTATTCTGTTATAATCTATTATATTAATTCTTACTATAAAATATATGTGGGTTGACTGTGATCATAGCAGGGGAATGAATGTAAGTGTGTCTTGTCTGTTTAATGAACAAAATAATAACTATTTAATTAATTTGCATGGCGCAGCCATGTAGTATAATTCAACTCAAAATATACTATTCTATTCTTTTGAAAAAAAATTGTATTAGTCTTATAATGTTTCTTAGGACCTGCATAAACAAATAAATAATGCATTTCTTTGTGATGGTGTATACTTTGCCACGCATTAAATCATGAACATTATATTGTTGTTGTCCGACATCAAACTTGTCCTTGTCATTATAAAAAAGTATAAACACAAAAACGGCACATGACATCGCAGCAGCCGGGTCCAAATAGCAACGTTACATGCTCAATTTCTGTCACAAAAAAACCCATCAGTTTTTAAATGTATTTAGGATATGTCACTCTAACAAGCCAGGCAACTAAAAGCAATAGACAATATTTTGGTTCGTTGCTAGCTTGTTAGCTAGTTAGCTATCTAGCTGGCTAGCCAGCTCAGATATTACCAGAACATACTGTATGTATCTGACAACATTTTATGTTGAACTGTAGCCAACTTTTTAGCCAACTTTTTATTCACTATCACAGAAAAAGGTAATTATTTAGAAATGATTTACAAGTATGGCGAGCTGCTAACTTACTGTTGTGAATGTGAAGAAATGAAAGTAGTGGAAGGTCTGAGTAATTTAGAACATGCTGCTGTCATGTCAAGTTACCATGACAATTGTAAAAATTGGGCTGTTTGAAAGGGATTCATATAAACATTATTCAATTGTTTTTACAGGCAACATACCGTGAATCCTATGTGAAATGAGTATAGAGCACACTGCTCCATTGCTATGCTATAACAAAAATCGTAGAGCCGTCTACAACGCTCTTATCACATATACATTTGTGAAATGTAGACTCCTGATACTTAGTGGGCAGGTATTTTTCTCTCTATTGACTGATGAAAAGCATGTTTCACTATTGACTATTCTGTCCTGCTCTCCCTTGTTACTAGATAGTCTTAAACTTATATTGTGTGTGTGTGTGTGTGTGTGGTGTGCAGGTTCCTGCTACTGCCAGCTAATGGACTGGCTCTTCCCTGGGTGCATCGACCTGAGCACAGTGAAGTTCCAGGCCCAGGACACACCAGACTTCTTCCACAACTACAATCTGCTTCAAGCTGGCTTCAGAAAGACTGGTGTCACCAAGGTTAGACTACACCCATACTTTCTTATCCATCACATTAACTGTAAATCAATGATTAAAAAAATTTGTACGTTAGTATTTAATAGATGGGCAGAGGGTTGGTAGGGATTCTCCCTTTGCTTCCATGTGGTATTTGCTTATTGTTCTAAATCCCTCCCCATTAGTTTGTTCCAGTGGAGGAGCTGATAAATGGAAGATTCCAGCCCAACTTCGTATTCCTGAAGTGGTTCAAGAGGTTTTTCCAGGCTAACCTGGCGGGGCAGGTGTATAACCCTGTAGAGGCTCGCCAGGGCCAGGACATCCAGCCTGCCAGACCCCCCCTCCGCTCCCCCCAGGGACTTGGCCGCAAGTCTGCCAGCCGCAACCCCAGTCAATCAGGTATCCATTCTATCACTTATCCTGAGTAGTGCTCTGCTACCTGAGCCCGACGGGCCCCGAAACTATACATCGGGTTAGGGCCGGGTAGGGCCTGTTTTTTCATCAATAGGATCACTTACATTTTGAAGCTGAGCCATTTGCTCGTGCCCTGCAGTCATATCTTACTAAGATCATAACACAGTGTCAGAAGTGCTTCAACCAGGTCAAGTATAAGACGACAAGAACATTATCAGAGTCGCAGGAGAGATTATTTCACAGAGAATAATAATGTTCGTTGAGTTTTGTCAGAGTTTAGAGTGACAAAATGTAGCTAGCTAACAGCTAAATGCTCTCTCAAGTCTTGTCATTGAGCAGCCCAAGGCGGAGCCGTTGCTATGGATACTCACACACGCAAACTAGCAGCAGAGCACATGCAGCACAGGGAGCGAGGGACAGACACAGATGAGCAGCTAATGGAAACTAAGGAAGGAAGTTATCTCTGATTTCAGGCAGGGCCACATGCACCTTAAATTTGGCAGAAGCACTCGAGCCTGGATAGGTCCTGAACGTCGCGGGCATGGGTAGGGCTCGGGCTTAAAATTCATGCCTGTGCAGGGCTCTAATCCTGAGTTGAAATGTTCTTTGTGCTGTTTATGACCTTATATTCAGGATGGAATATTGTTGATATTTTTGTGTTAATCAGTTTGTGTTTTCCTTTTTTCTGACAGTGGGGTTGGAAACCGACACGGATGAAGAAGCTTTAGGGAAGGATCAAAGAAAACATATCGTTTATGAAGATATATGGAGGGAGATACACTCCTGGGTGGGGCCCAGCACCCTGGGAGAGTTCCATGCCTACTGCAGTCTGTGTGACATGAATCTCAACATCGATCACTCAGGCCTTGTTGACCTCAAGCGTCACTCGCAGTGCAAGAGGCACCGTAAGCTTACCCTGGCTGCCAATGGATGCACTGTAAGAACAGAGGCAAGAAAGAGCAGGCAGGGCAGCATCAGCAACTGTCCACCCTGTAGTGAGTTGGTCCTGTGCTTCATTCAGGCTAACTGCGTCTCTGGTCCGTCCGCGGCTGGGGACCTGGTGTCTAACAGATACGGCCAGTATGTCCTGGGACTACAGTACCCAGAAGACATAGTGTCTGTCTGCCAAAAGACTCCTTACTGCATATACACGTACGAAGGAGTGGTGCTAGGGGAGGCTGGCATGGCTTCTGTAGTTCTAGTAGGGTATTTTGATGTGAAGGCAGCCAGACACTGCATCAGGCTGTTGGATGTCCTGCAGCGTCCAGCTGAAGACAATACTGGAGAGAAAACTGCTGCGGCTCTGGTGGAGACCTTGAAGAGGTTTGGGCTTCCTGCAGCTAACCTCGCTGCTCTCTACACAGATGGTAACGGTGCTGCCTCGGAGCAGATTTGCTCACAGCTCAGGGAACTCAACCCCAATGTGGTGGTGCTAGGTAGGCTTTATGGAGTGGCAGATGCATCCTGCCATGCTGGGGTGGTGGAGCTCACCACTCAGGCCCAGGAGCTAATTGTAGATATCTACTCCCACTACTCCTTCTGCTCCACCAAGAATGACAACCTGAAGGAACTGTTTTCCAGCATAAGCAGTATCGATGGCCTCACCCTTCCCCTCACCACCTGCTGCCTTAACTTCTGTATGTTAGCCAGGAAATTGTTGGGAATATGGACAGATCTAATCTCCCACTTCAGCTCCTTTAACAAAGAGGATGACATAGATGAGAAGGCCAAACTGATCTGCACACAACTGCAGGATCCCCAAATCAGGGCTACCTTTATGTTCCTAAACCAGGCCCTGGAGCCCCTCCGTGCCTTCCAGGAGCGACTGCACCACCATGAGGGCTCGGCCCGGGCCGACCTGGTGCAGATCCTACAGGACGCCAGCGACCTCCTGCGCTCCTATGCCTCCAGTTTCCTCCGTCCTCAAGCCGTTGTGCGCTTCCTCAAGGAACGTGATGCCTCTCTCCTCAAGAACACAAAGTTCCACCTGCCAGGGCCAGAGCTGAACGTAGGAGGGGCTGCAGTGGAGGACTTCCTGTGTGAGTCATCAGAGTCAGGAAGTGAAATACTGCAGTTTTTACAGGAACAGGCTCTGTCTTTCTACACAGCACTTACAGCCAGCGTGGCGGAGGGGCTGCCTCTGAGTGACGGCGTGTTGAGGAGCATGGCCCAGCTTCTGAGCCCCCAGGGTAGGCTGAAGGTCACAGGGAAGGCGGTGGGAGAGCTGGGGGCTAAACTTGGGCTCTGCAGCTCACCTGAAGAGATCAGCCAGCTGAACAAGGAGTTCCTGGAGTACAAGCTGGCAGAGGAGGGAGAGTGGGAAGAGGGAGAAAATGGATGTGATCGGGGCGTCCAAAATGGCTCTGCAGCAACCTTGCTGGAGCAACATTGGAGCACTGTGTTGAAGGCTTCTGGGTCGACCAGCATCTTCAGGAAACTTGTTTTGACCCTCTTAGCCATGCCTTGCCCCCCACTTGAAGCTCAGAAGGTCTTCACACAGGTAGGTGAAAGACAAAAAGCATCACACACTTGTATGTCACTGCGCTCCTGCATGGAAGTTATTGTGTTGGTATTGTCCCATTTATGTTCTTATCTGCGTGTGTCTGTATCTGCATCTAGATTATTTGTGTCTGTGTCTGTCTGTGTTCTCAGGCTGTGGAGAATGGGGACGCTGCCCAGTTCACTGACAGTGTGACAGAAAGTGAGCTGGACTCCGTTCTGGAAGTAGACCTGACCAATGAACTGACCAATGACAGCGCTCTATCAGACAACAGCAGTATCAACGAGCCTGGCAGGAAGAAGAGAGGTCGTCCCAGAAAGATTCCATCAGGTAAATTGTTTCATTAGGGGACTGGAAATGGACTATAATATAATGTATTATCACTGTTTGAAATATACTGTAGTATAGAGTAGCGCACACAAGAGCCCTCAAATGCTTTTTTTAGGGTACAGCTCCATTTTGGGTTAGAATTAGTTTGTGTGTGTACCGGTAAGCAGCTTATCAAGTGGATTAGCACATGAAAGGGTTTGCTAAAATGGGCTGAGTTGCTCAAGATGGCGGCAGCTCTCCATTGTTGGGGTAGGTTAGTGTAGCATGAGCATGCTTCAGGTTTGCATGTCTGTGGGTAGTATTATATAATGTTGGTTGTGTTAGTGTAATAGACAGAATAGACAGATTTATATTTTAGAGTGGGCAAAAACTATTGTTATTTAAAAGAGATGGTATTATTATATAGGGCTAGCTATGATAACGTACCATACCATTGATTGGGAATGATTGGGAAAGGGGGTCAGTTTCAGAACTGAATGCGTTCAACCGAAATGTGGCTTCTGCATTTAACCCAACCCCTCTGAATCAGAGAGGTGCGGGGGCTGCCTTAATCGACATCCACGTCATCGGCGCCATTGGTTGAGTTAGAAGAACAACTACACTACAGACGGCTATATAGGTTTGCTAATACAGGACTAGTAAAGGCCCAGTACACTACTTTAGTGAAGAAGAAAAAATATCTAAATTATTATTATAATATATCATTTATTTTATTCCGATTTTTCAGGGAGTACTGCAACACCCTCAGTACCCCTACTTCCGGCTACATATTTCAAAAGCAGTCAATGATCTCGGAGTCTCTGCATTTGAACTTTATGTTTATTGTGTTATAGCGTGATTATATAAGCAGAATTAAATATAATTCCAATGCAAGAACCCCAAAAAATGTTGCACCCTGGCCGATTTCAACTGCCCCCTTGGTCACTTTATCCTGGCGCCGGGCCTGGTGTGTGGTGCCATTATCATTGTCTAAATATTGTCTGGTATGCACAAGCCTTGAGAGCAAAAGTGCATTTTGGCATGATACCCTACGCAGCACCAAAACAGCAAAAAGTTGAATGGCTTCCAATCGCATCATATAGTATGTTGTAGTTGTGGTGGCACATTACAGTAGTAAATGGCAGCCATACTCAACAGGCAGATAGTAGAATAATAGTATAATTGGTAGTGCATGGTCAGTTTTCCTCTTGTTATGTCATTCACTGACAGACCTTAAAGAGCTGTTTATAACCTGTCAGAAAATTCCAGTTGATCAACTAGCCCATGTTCACTAGGTAGGTTAATTAGGTTAACCAGCTATCTAAATCTTGTAGTTATCATGGCCAGATTATGTACCCATGGGAGCCTCGACCCCCCAGGGGGCCCTCATCGATTTTGTTGAGTCATTCAGGTATCATATGAACACACATAAGACATGGCAAAATGTGTAGAATTGCAGGAATTTAGCTAGAAAACTGCAAACAAATTATCTCCGCCCCATGGCAAAATGTATAGAATTGCAGAAAATTTGCTTATAAATGGCAAAATGTTTATTCCGCCAATGAGGGGTGTGAACAGTTTGGGGTTGCATGTGTCGTGAGGTGAGGGTTTGTTACTACGTCGATAAGTTACAATAATTATACGGACCTTTGCCACCTAGGAAATGTCCCACTGGGCACAGATGTCAATTCAACGTATATTCTATGTTGGTTCAACATAATTTCATTGAAATGACATGGAAACAACATTGATTCAACTGTGGGTTGTGTGACCGGACCATCTTAAATAGTAGTTGAGTAACCCTGGTATATGGGTTGGAGTCTAGCTATACCTACAGTATCCTTAATGATAACCTAAATCTAATCTTACACTGTCCATTGATTCTCTCAGTGTTTCACATACTTCTATCACAGGATCCCTGTTAATAATGGAAGCATTCATGTGTTGTTTTCCAGAGGTGAATAACCTTAATGGGACAGTGAAGCCATGCACAGTGCAGCTGCAGAAGATAATCAGTAAGAAAAGATATTGATAGTTAGTGAAGATGATCATTGGTATTCATCTATATCACTTAAGGCCAGTCACCACAGGCTAAAATGACATTTTTGCATCTACTCGTCAGTTTAGAGAGCTTTGGGTATCTTTGTCCATTAATATTAGTATCTTCAAAAAGCAAAACATTAAAATGTCAAAAATTTGATGGAAATGTTTCATGAATTGTAACCACTTTTAAATGGTCATACATCCAAAATTTCAAAGCTCACTACATTGAATCACACATAATTTAAAAGCCCATTTCATAGAGAATGTTACAAACTGGACTATATGTAGTAACTTACGGTGATTGGGTCTAAATAGGTGTTTGGCATTTGGTAGTTTAAATTCATTGTAAGTTTGTCTTTAACTGCTATTTCCAGAAAGTCAGACTCTTCCCACACGTCAACACATTTTTCTCAGCCTCAGAAGCATCTTTATTCATCAAATTTGTTGTGGTTATCCTTAGACGTATTTTCCAGACTTATACATAGGGAATTGTTGATATGTTATCAAGTTTTTATTCTAGATGACATTTTATTGAAAAACAAACAAATCTATTTAGTATTTTACAGATAGAAATATGAAAAAGGTATTGATCCACAATCTGCTATGTGTAAGTCAGCTCCTGGAGGGCATTGACAAAATGAAACCAAAATATTTGGGCTGACTTCATCCAGTGTCCAGAAAATTGGATTTGCGTGATATGCAAATATGCATGTTTAATGACATTTACTGAATTTGCATATTTCTGTACGATATTTCAGAAACATTTTAATATAAAAAAGTATTATATTTGTGTCCACATTCAACTGGTAAAAGTTGATTGTGATATGATTAAGGGGAACAAAATACCCTATTAGGGTGTGGTGCCTGGCCTTAAACTCAATTGAATTGATGTACAGGTGACACATTACCAGAGAATGCTTAACAATCCGCCTATTGAGCCTTCCATGGTTGGGGTAAAGTCAATTGCATTTCAGTTCAGTCAATGCAGGAAGTATACTGAAATTCCAAATCCAATTTTCCTCAATGCTTTTCAATGAGAAAAAAAGTGTAATTGTAATTTCAGTTTACTTCCTGAATTGACATGAAATTGACCCCAACCCTGTCTTTTTACTTATCTATCCGCTGTCTTTTCACCTTTGGACAATTTCAGGCAAAACTCTAGTATTTTCTGCAACAAAACATTGCTTTGGTTTCTATGATACTTGTTTATGTAGATGAGCCAAAGAATGAGGACGATACTGTGTTCGTTGAGGACAACGTCATTTGGACAAATACTATGGAGGTAATGTTTTTTATAATTTTGTTGATGTCTTTTTTGTACTACATTTCATGTCTAGTAGTGAACCAATTCAACAAATATGGTAACTTAAGATTTAACTAAGAGGGACGTTATTGTTTTCTTGTGACGCATAACAGAGCTTTCCTGTAAAAGACAGACACACTGTAGATATTGTCGCCTATGTTTGTTTTTAACATGTTCTTACCTTGCTATAGTGGGGGTGTGACAGATGAAACCCAAAATAAACTGCACGTGACAACACCTGACAATGGAAACAATATCATTCTTTGAAATCAAACAAAGCAAAACATGCATGGATCTTTTGCATGTCTCCAAAGCTTGACATTATGACAAACCTCTCTATACAGGTTTTGTGAAATAAGAGTCACTAGTATGCTTGGCTTTGCTGTTGCTTGTGCAATCATCCATTCTCTATGATTTGAAATCATTTTTATTAAAACCTTAAATGCTTAGGACAAGTTCATACTAGCATCTCACCCGTGTCTAACAAACTAACCTTGCTAGTAGCTTTTGTATCCTCTCCTTTATTTTTCTTCTTCTTCTTCTTTTCTCACGTGGGTCTACTTTATGGTTGGTAGTCGTAGCAATTCTTGGATGTGAGTGCATGAGTGGGTGTGCGTGCGCTTGTGCCCACGTGTTTGCGTGTGCTTGTACAATGTATGTGTGTAGTGTGCGTAATGGGTGTGTGCATGTGTGTTGTCCCTCAGGGCACCATTAGGGGCATTTATGGTTGGGAGAGCAGCTTACGCCAGAAGCCACAGGCGCGCACTGTGTTTCAGGCTGGTGCGGGCACCTGGGCCAAGCCACAGGCTCTTGACAACGACAGCAAAAAGGACCAGGAGTCCGAGGCTGCATCGGTAGGTACTCTCAGAACTCCTACCAGTGATGGCTGGTGTGTTGGGATATCGGGGGACGGGCACATTGTAATGACTAGAATTGAAACCCTGTGTTTGATACCGTTCCATTCATTCTATTCCAGCCATTACAATGAGTCCATCCTCCTATATCTCCGCCCACCAGCCTCCTGTGGCTCCTCCACTTGAGGGGAGCCCTTCTGACCTCTGGCGAATGGGACAATGAAAGACGCAGCATAATTAAAACTCAAGAAAACCTATATTTTGCTTTAAAGCTGTGCGTGGCTGTCAACGACACGTCATTCTTTCTGTGCATGGCTCTTGTGATTTGCTTCTAACCTTCTAATTTCCTTTTTAACCCTTTATATGGACTTACGTGGTCTCCCATTTTCTTAACTCATTCTCACTGCTCTGAAATTGCGTTGCTTAAATTAATGTTGACAAAAACTGACAAACCTTGCAAACAAAGGGCCATAGTTGCCTATTACATGGAAAGAAGGATATGTACAATTGTAGTCACCCATAAGACAACCTTTCAAGTGTCTTTGTTTACATTTTCAGGTTCATCAGATATCAGTGGATGTGTTCGTCACTGTCTTCAGGCATGGCATTGTCAACTATTTTATCTCTGTATTCAAGTATAAATATTTTTGACTTTCAGCCCCCGAAGAAGGAGAATCATACATCCAATGTGTCTACACCGAGCTCCAGGGGAGCAAAGAAGGGCATTGATTACCAGGTTCCTACTTTCACAAATATTTGCTATGCATGCCAACATGCTTCCTTATCATATAAACCCATGTGATTAACCCTCCATCTCCCTGGTTTTCACCCTGTAGGATGGGAAGGGTTTCCCCACTGGAGATCTGGTGTGGGGAAAGGTGAAGGGCTTCTCCTGGTGGCCTGGGCTCGTGGTGCTCTGGAAGTCCAACAAGGCACCACCTGTATCCATGCGCCGGGTAGAGTGGTTCGGAGACGGCATGTTTTCCGAGGTGTGGACTTGACTTGACTCATTGTAAATAGCAAGATTGACCTGCAACACAGATTGGTGTTTGATCTAAATGTTTCCTTTGTTTTGTGTTGCAGATCTATACAGAGAGACTTCTGCGTTTTGCAGCTTTTTCAAAGTGCTTCTGCAAGAATTCCTATGCCAGCTTGCCCACCTACAAAGATGCCATCTACCAGGTCCTTGAGGTGGGACATGAATGCTATTATCTATCACTATCTTAACATTTTAATGTACAACTCTGTAATATACTAGCCTGGTCCCAGATCTGTTTGTGCTGTCTTTCCAACTCAACTTGCATGGTCTTTGCGTGACATTGGCAAGACAGCACAAACAGATTTGAACTATGCTAGTACTGCACTGTTACATCCCCATATATCACAACATTCCATGCTGTATAATACCACAAAGCACCACATCACCACTCATATTTCATGTCAATGCAGTTGGCTGGTGAGCGCTGTGAGAAGTCCTTTCTTGCAGCGGGGAATAAGCAGGAGTTGCTTAGGTTGATGCTGGACTGGGCCCACAGTGGATTCCTGCCCACTGGACCAGATGGGTTCAACCCCCCACCCCCTGCAGGTATGTGTGGTTTAGACTGAAGTTGCCCCTTGACACAGATCTTGGGTCAGTTTAGCATTTCCCCCACTAATGATAAGGTTAGGATTGGGGAGGGGAAGCTGATCCTAGATCTGTACATAGGGGAAATTTCACCCCGGAACGCTTTGTGTTCTTTCATTATATTTCCACAACAGGGTAACACTTATACCTGTGTAGTAACACTGTAGGTACACTAGTAACAACAGGTGTTCTCATTTTCCTTTGATTTTGTTTAATTCCCAAAGATGCCAAAGACTCAAAGGCAGAATCTTCAGACTCGCCTCTGGCAGACTACCAGCCCCCAGCTAAGAGGAAGTATGTGAACAAGAACAGACCATCCTATGGGAGTCAGAGCTACAGCAGAGGTAAGCCCTACACCCACATCAATCCAGATTCATTAATACATGTATAAGGGCCGTTTTTCTAGTTACTCTGTCACTATAGAATGATATTTGCATCAATTAAATTCCTTTCTTTTGTGGTTCACAGAGGCAATGGTGCAAGAGGTTAAGAAAGGCAAACATATTAAAGGTATTTAACATTCTTTCCACTGTAATTGTACTTTTTTGCTCTCTATTTCTCTGCACTTTTGAAAAATAGCATATAATGGAATCAGTCATTTTACTAATGTATACAATTCCTTCTTCACCTCAGAATTCTGTTTATCATGTGGAACCCCCCACATCCACACCTTCCACCCACTGTTTGAAGGGAGTCTTTGCCTGAAGTGCAAGGTAAACTAACTACATCTTCTCATTAATTTAATGACTGTTCAGTTTATTTATGCAAATGTATTCCACATAGACATGTTAGATCATGTCTGCTTATCATCTGAAAGATTGTTGACATGAATGACCTTCGTCCCCATGGTAAATCTGTCCCTCCTAACCTTTGCAGGAGAACTTTATTGAGACTTTGTACAGATACGACGAAGATGGCTACCAGTCCTACTGCACGGTTTGTTGTGCTGGCCAAGAGGTCATTCTGTGTGGCAATGCCAGCTGCTGCAGGTAAGCAATGCTCAAGATTACACTTTCCCCTCTCTTTTCTTTCACTCCCATTTCCTCTTTCACATGCTTATCCTCTCTGTTGTTCCCTCTCTCTCTTCCTCTCTCAGGTGTTTCTGTAAGGACTGCCTGAATATTTTGGTTGGCGATGGAACCTTTGACAAGCTGAAGGATGTTGACCCATGGAGCTGCTTCATGTGCTTACCATCCCAGTGCAACGGATCACTCAAGCTGCGAACTGACTGGAGCGTGCGAGTGCAAGAGTTTTTCGTGAACAACAGTGCTCTAGAGTTTGAACCCCACCGAGTGTATCCCTCCATCCCTGCCCATCAACGCAGACCCATCAGGGTGTTGTCTCTCTTTGATGGGATTGCCACAGGTTTGTACATTCTCAATATGGGCTTTCATTTTTCTTTGGGAGATAGTTGTAGATAAGTGATTTTGATGTGTTTTATGAGACTGCAATGGCATCTGTTTCTTCTGTATTCTGGCAAGTTACTGTGTGCAGAAAGGTCAGGGTTTGGTCGTTTTGGTTTGTGTGTCAGTGACTGATCATTTTCTATGTCCATTGTGCTCTTGCAGGGTACTTAGTGCTCAAAGACCTGGGCTTCATCGTAGAACGCTACATTGCCTCTGAGATCTGTGGGGACTCGATCGCTGTGGGTATGATCAAACACGAGGGCAAGATAGAGCATATCAATGACGTACGCACCATCACCAGGAAACACGTGAGTTCAGCATACACACACACATTCATGTTCAAACAAATTACAACACACCCACCAACACACACACACACACACACACACACACAAACACACTCTTATGATCATTCTCTAACCTGTGTGTGTCTGTGTGTTTGCTGTGTTTCAGCTGGCTGAATGGGGTCCCTTTGACCTCCTGATTGGAGGAAGCCCCTGCAACGACCTGGCCTGCGTCAACCCTGCTCGGAAGGGCTTATTTGGTAAGGAACCTCCTGACTTCAAAGTAAATGGAGTGTTTCTACTAGACCAGTGGTTCTCAAACCTCTCCTCGGGGACCCCCAGCCGTTCCATGTATTTGATCTATTCCAGAGCTAGCACACTTAATTCAACTTGTTAACTAATCATGAAGCCCTTGGATAGTTGAATCGGGTGAGCTAGTTCCGGGCTACAGCAGAATTGTGAAACTTCTGAGGTAGGAGTAGAGGTTTAAGAACCACTGTACTAGACAATGTAGAGAGCTAATGTCTGGAGAACTTTTATCAAGTCTGTTATCACATCGTTTTATCAGCAGTTAACAGGGTAGCCTACTGTTACATGCACGTGTCTGTACACGCTAACCTATCCATTGGCCTATTTAATGGTGTTTCATTGGTTTTCTCTGTCTCTGTTTCCAGAGGGCACAGGCAGGCTGTTCTTTGAATATTACAGGATGCTGAACATGATGAGGCCAAAGGAAGATGATGACCGTCCGTTCTTCTGGCTCTTTGAAAATGTGGTGGCCATGCGCGGTCATGACCTGGCCGACATCTGTCGTTTTCTTGAGGTAAAGATACTAGCAGCTATTTCATGGTCAACGAGGCCTCTCGCTCTCCCTCTTTCTTTCTCTCTCTTTTTTTAACTCTCTTGCTCTTTCTCACTCTCTCTCCCTGGTCAAGAGATTTGGGGGGTATGTTTGCATCTTTATTTCATTATTACTAATAATCTCATCCCATCTGTTTCCAGTGTAATCCCATCCTAATAGATGCAGTAAAAGTGAGCCCAGCTCACAGAGCTCGCTACTTCTGGGGAAACCTCCCTGGCATGAACAGGTAAACATATATACGACTAACACATAGACACATCCCCGTACACCTTCACACAGTCCTACTGATAAGCACTAACACATGCACTTTCAATGTCATCTTGTTTTTCATATGTTCAACTCATCTACATGTGAGAGTTCACTCGTCTGTATGTGTTTCTCTCCTTAGACCTCTAGCTACCTCTCTGGATGATAAGGTGAACCTGCAGGATTGTCTGGAGCCTGGACGCACGGCCAAGGTAGACTGATAAGCTCTTGCTTCTAGATTTTCTTATAATTCAGTTCAGCCATCAGCACTTTACTGGCAAGAGGTTGAAGTTAAAAGGTTGATGTTTAGGTTACTTCTAATGTATATTTTCTTATTTATGAATGAGTTTCTAGCATCAGATGTGATTGGTGAGTATGTCCATATTTAAAATATGGTTCAAGATGTGATTGTTATCTGTCTGTTCGTTCCCTTCCAGTATAACAAAGTTCGTACCATCACTACCAAGTCCAACTCCATCAGACAGGGGAAGATGGGACCCCTACCTGTCGACTTTAATGGCAAGGAGGACTACCTTTGGTGCACAGAGATGGAGAAGTAAGTATTTTATATTGAGAGTAAAAGGGTAGGGTTGGAACAGCATAGAATATAGAAGTGATCACAGTGTAATTACATTGTTTTAAAGTTTTATAGTTATCATTATTCCTATACTGTGACTGATCATGGATACTGCTCTCTTGTAAAAGTCAATGTACTTACAGTGTGGAAGTTAAGTGAATGTAATCTGTAATTTCTGCTACAAATACACTTACCCTCAGGTTGTTTTGACATTGTTCTAACATTTTCCATGTTATGTGATTGACCTTCCTGCAGGATCTTTGGCTTTCCCAAGCATTACACTGATGTCAACAACATGGGTCGGAGCCAGCGGCAGAAAGTACTGGGCCGATCATGGAGTGTACCAGTTATCCGGCACCTCTTTGCTCCACTCAAGGATTACTTTGCCTGTGAGTAGGGACTCCACATTCCTGTGTGCTGCACTGTCGTCAACAACAACAGCAACATGAAATAGCTGATTAATGGAGCGCGGAGGGTAAAAACAGTATCATTATCCTGCCCTGCTTTTTAGTGAACGGAACTATCCTGTGTTTCTCAGACTGACCTCACAGAATCATCTTAATATTTTTATCACTGGCTGTATTGACTGTTTTATTAGGTTTTAGATCATGAGCACCTGTTTCAATGCAGTGTGGTCATATGATCATAATATTCCCAGAATGCACTGACACTTTTTGGTTCTTTCAGTTTGTCTGGAGTAGTTCACGTTTGGTTTTGTCAACATTTGGTCAATGATGGTGAGATCAGACCTCAAACCCTGCCCACTATCTACCTCAATACTAATCTGTGATCGGTCTGACATCTGCAGAAACACAGTTTTATCTCTATTTAATGTAATGATTTTTTATCATTTATTTTATATTTGAATGTTACAAATAGTCAGATAAATCATGTTCACTTGTAATTATGTGAATAAACCTTCTAATGTTTTGTTATATGTTTGGGAAAAAAGATCTTCCAAGAGAATTAAAGATCAGAAACTCAGATTCAAACCAAGGCAGAAAATGTGCCTTGAGTGTTTGTTTGTATTTTACCTTGGACAATATTCACCATGGTTACAGTCTGTGTGGTGCTATGTTCGGGAATTTAATTATATTATTGTCAGAGACTATAGGCAGGTTTCCATTGACACAGGTTCATTCGACAAAAGCAATGTTGCAACAAAAAAAACATTGCCACATGTATAATGGAAACGGCAGATGTAGGAGACATTTTCTAAAGATCTAATACATTTTATACATTTGACAGGAGTGGATTTTTATTTTGTCTTACGAATAAATTATGATTGCTGAATAATTTTAAAGGTAGGCCTACGCAGGGCATTTGATGTTATCACGTAACTATAAAGCTCCACTCCACATTTAATTCTAAATGCCTACTGCTTACAAAATCCATTTATTCAACTATAAAAAATAATGTTTCTTTGCAGGATGTCCCCTTTGAAGAACCCCTTTTGGTTCCAGGTAGAACCCTTTTGGGTTCCATGTAGAACCATTTCCACAGAGGGTTCTACGTGGATCCAAAAAGGGTTCTCCTATGGGGACTGCCGCAGAACCCTTTTTTCTAAGAGTTTACAGGCTGTCGCCACTTTACTCATGCACAATTTGCCAATTTTACCGCATCATTTTATTCGACATTCTAGGTTTTTATGAAAAAGTGTTTTTTTAAGGGGTGACGTCATTACGTCCAGCTGTTTTCATCTACACAAGACAGTTGAATGCAAACTTTTTAAATGTCGACAAAAAGATCACTGTATACGTTTATGGAGGCATAGTTATTATCTCACTTATTAGAACATGCCATTTATAGGCTTTACTTTAGGTGATATAGTCAAGCATGTGAATGCTATATGTACATGCTATGGGAGGGGCGACAGGTAGCTTAGTGGGTAAGAGCGTTGTGCCAGTAACCGAAAGGTTGCTGGTTCTAATCCCCGAGCCGACTATTTGAAAAATCTGTTGATGTGCCCTTAAGCAAGGCACTTAACCTTAATTGCTTCTGTAAGTCGCTCTGGATAAGAGCGTCTGCTAAATGACGTGAGTACATGCATGCTTTTTCTCTTCAAAGAAAAAGTTGCTGAAACCAGTCCTTACAACTTTGATTTAAATAGTAAGATGTGTGCCTTCTCCCTGTCTTGGAGCAATGGGGAGAAGAACGGTTGTAATCGCAATTGCCCAGTAAACAACTGTTAAAACCTAGATACAATACACGTAGAATTATTTTTCTTTTATTATTATTATTAATTCTTCAATATTTTAAAGGGAGCTGGACAAAGCTCTGAGGAAAGGAGTACATCATCAATGTTTTCACGTAATTGTTTCAGTAAAACAGACAGGCAGCGTGTAAGTCTTTAAAGTGGGCACCTTTTCTGAAAGCAACTGTTTTAAACTGACCTTGTATGTTCATGGAGTGTTGATGAAGGTCACATGGAGGGCCTAGTCATAACATACCCACTTCAGTTTCATGCATGTGTGTGACGTGTGTTGTTATGACAGGTGATCTGTATGTTAAATTGAAGTTATGTTTTTAACTGCAGTGTTCTGTTCATCTCGCTCTCAACAAGTTTGTTGATGATACCACAACACAACCAGCTTTCATCAAAAACTTGAAGCTACGCTACATTCTAAAATCATAAGTACTGTTTGTCATTTGGGGTTATTGAGATTTTGAACTCATTATCAGTTTGGAACCCTTGTTCCCCTCCACCACCCATACCTTCCTCTCGAACTGTATGAAGTGTGTCAGTGTGGTGACTGACATCCAACTTATCTCAACTCAGAGGCAGAACAGATACTGTATACCAAATGTGTTTTTCATGCCATTTCTATTTTTAATAAGCAGAACCAGGTGAACACCGTCTGGACAGTGATTTACATAGGATACTGGCCTTATTAATTGTTTTTTTAAATGAAACAAAAGGAATGAAAAATATTGTTCTGTGTACTGTATGTTTCGATAATACTTTAATAACAATACCTTAAATATGATGTTATTAGGGTCATCACTAGACTCCTATTGGTGCTATATTATTGTTCAATTGTTTTCTAATTTTCATATTTTTTTGCATGGTATGTTAATATTGAGTCAGGCTGTATATAACATGTTTAGCTGTCCACAGGCTTGTTTAATGTATAGTTGTCATAGTCTCATAACCCCATGTAAAGCTTTTGTCCCAAGTCTATGATCATGTTAGAGATGAGAAATAAACTGCCCTAATTGTATTATTTGTACTTTGTCTGTGTTGTTGTCAGTCTGTCAATTGATTGATATATTATACTGTGAATACTGTGTGCCTGGTTTGTGTGTGTGTGTGTGTGTGTGTGTGTGTGAGTGTGTGTGTGCGTGTGTGTGTGTGTGTTTGTGTGTGTGTGAGAGAGCTTGTGGGTGGTCTCTGGCAAGCTTTTGACAATAATACAATAGGTGATGCATACTATTGCTGAAATTGTGGAAGTGTCTGTAAATTAAACAGGTCATGGGTCAGGTGGTAAAAAAAACAAAACATGAGTGGTCGTGCAGAGGTGGCTTGAAGGGAGAAAATGGCGGAAGTGGATGATCTGTTTGATCTGTTTGAACCAGATTGCGTGTCGAGTGGAGATGAGAGAGAATAAGTGTATTACAGTGGCGAATGCCAAATGAAATAAGAGAAGAAAAGTGATAGTGGAAACTAGTAAATCCAAGCCTAGTTCTGATTCTTTTTTGGTCAAAGTGAGGGTTTTGGATCAATGTTGTTACCTTGGAGATCTGATTAAAGCCCCTATAAATATTGTGGATGCGTTGGATGAGGTGGCGTCCATGAGAGTAACGAGAAATGGGCTTATTTTGTTTTTTTTGTGTATCTGCGCCTCAAGAAGATGTCGGATTGGAATGTGTCGGGTGTGGATCTTCGAAGCAGAGCGCCTAACAAGGGGTGGCGCTAGAAGTAAACGCAAAGGATATATGTGAAGAATTGCATCAAGTGGTTGGTGCACACCGACTGACCCGCATGGTTTTTTGATGAAGCGTCTCTCCCTTCTCACGTGTATTTGGGTTTTATGACATACCCTGTGAGAGCCTTTGTGCCCAAGCCCATGCAGTGTGATAGATGCAAAATATTTGGTAATGTGTCAAGTGTATGTAGACGGGAGGGGTATCGTCTGCCAGCTGAGCCTAAATGCTGCAATTGTGGTGGTGAACATGCACCCAAATGTCTGAAGTGTCCTGTTAGGGTGAAGGAGGCGGAGGTGGTAAGAATAAGGGCTGTCCAGCATGTCTCATATGTAGAGGTGGTGAGAAGAGTGGAAGAAAGGAGTGAAGTTGAAGAAATAATGTTAGTAGGAGTAGAGACACTACTCACTCTGCCCCTACTCAGATGGTAATGTGCCGTCGCAACCTTCGCTCTCTCTCTCCCGCTACTCTCTCCTCTTCCATCCTATCATCTCTTCCCTATGCTAAATCCTTCTCCCTCCAATCTCCTGATTCTGCCTCCTCAACCCTCCTATCTTCCCTCTCTGAATCATTTGACTCTCTATGTCCCCTATCCTCCCGGCCGGCTCGGTCCTCCCCTCCTGCTCCGTGGCTTGACGATTCATTGCGAGCTCACCGAACAGGGCTCCGGGCAGCCAAGCGGAAATGGAGGAAAACTAGACTCCCTGCGGACCTGTCATCTTTCCACTCCCTCCTCTCTACATTATCTTTGTCCGTTTCTGCTGCTAAAGCCACTTTCTACCACTCTAAATTTCAAGCCTCTGCCTCTAACCCTAGGAAGCTCTTTGCCACCTTCTCCTCCCTGCTGAATCCTCCTCCCCCTCCCTCCTCCCTCTCTGTGGATGACTTCGTAAACCATTTTGAAAAGAAGGTTGACGACATCCGATCCTCATTTATTAAGTCAAATGACACCGCTGGTCCTGCTCACACTGCCCTACCCTATGCTTTGACTTCTTTCTCCCCTCTCTCTCCAGATGAAATCTTGCGAATTGTGACGGCCGGCCGCCCAACAACCTGCCCGCTTGACCCTATCCCCTCCTCTCTTCTCCAGACCATTTCCGGAGACCTTCTCCCTTACCTCACCTCGCTCATCAACTCATCCTTGTCCGCTGGCTATGTCCCTTCCATCTTCAAGAAAGCGAGAGTTGCACCCCTCCTCAAAAAACCTGCACTCGATCCCTCCGATGTGAACAACTACAGACCAGTATCCCTTCTTTCTTTTCTCTCCAAAACTCTTGAGCGTGCCGTCTATAGCCAACTCTCCTGCTATCTCTCTAAGAATTACCTTCTTGATCCAAACCAGTCAGGTTTCAAGACTGGTCATTCAACTGAGACTGCTCTTCTCTGTGTCACGGAGGCTCTCCGCACTGCTAAAGCTAACTCTCTCCTCTGCTCTCATCCTTCTAGACCTATCTGCTGCCTTTGATACTGTGAATCATCAGATCCTCCTCTCCACCCTCTCCGAGTTGGGCATCTCCGGCGCGGCTCACTCTTGGATTGCGTTCTACCTGACAGGTCGCTCCTACCAGGTGGCATGGCAAGAATCTGTCTCCGCACCACGTGCTCTCACCACTGGTGTCCCCCAGGGCTCAGTTCTAGGCCCTCTCCTATTATCTCTATACACCAAGTCACTTGGCTCTGTCATATCCTCACATGGTCTCTCCTATCATTGCTACGCAGATGACACACAATTAATCTTCTCTTTTCCCCCTTCTGATAACCAGGTGGCGAATCGCATCTCTGCATGTCTGGCAGACATATCAGTGTGGATGTCGGATCACCACCTCAAGCTGAACCTCGGCAAGACGGAGCTGCTCTTCCTCCCGGGGAAGGACTGCCCGCTCCATGATCTCGCCATCACGGTTGACAACTCTGTTGTGTCCTCCTCCCAGACTGCAAAGAACCTTGGCGTGACCCTGGACAACACCCTGTCATTCTCCGCTAACATCAAAGCGGTGACCCGATCCTGTAAATTCATGCTCTACAACATTTGCAGAGTACAACCCTACCTTACACAGGAAGCGGCACAGGTCCTAATCCAGGCACTTGTCATCTCCCGTCTGGATTACTGCAACTCGCTGTTGGCTGGGCTCCCTGCCTGTGCCATTAAACCCCTACAACTCATCCAGAACGCTGCAGCCCGTCTGATGTTCAACCTTCCCAAGTTCTCTCACGTCACCCCATTCCTCCCCACACTCCACTGGCTTCCAGTTGAAGCTCGCATCTGCTACAAGATCATGGTGCTTGCCTACGGAGCTGTGAGGGGAACGTCACCTCCTTACCTTCAGGCTCTGATCAGTACCTACACCCAAATGAGGGCATTGCGTTCTTCCACCTCTGGCCTGCTGGTCCCCCTACCTCTGCGGAAGCACAGTTCCCGCTCAGCCCAGTCAAAACTGTTCGCTGCTCTGGCACCGAACACTCCCTCACGACGCCAGGTCAGCGGAGTCACTGACCACCTTCCGGAGACACTTGAAACCCTACCTCTTTAAGGAATACCTGGGATAGTATAAAAGTAATCCTTCTACCCCCCCCCCCCCCCCCCCCCCCCCCCCCCCACACACAAAAATAAATACATAAATAAAATAAAAAACAAATATATGTATAAAACAAATGAAAATAAAAAATATACTCTAAAAATATCAAAGTAAAAAAATATATATATTAAAAAAATATATATATCTATTGTAGAGTGGTTGTCCCACTGGCTATCATAAGGTGAATGCACCAATTTGTAAGTCGCTCTGGATAAGAGCGTCTGCTAAATGACGTAAACGTAAATGTAGACACCAGATAATATTCCTTGTCAACAGAGGGATCCTGACATATTGCATGTTAAAGAAGGTGGACTTTGTAGCGTTTATTGCATTGGTTATCAACTGCACAGCGCAAACAGAGGAAATCTGAGAAAATAGGCATCATTGTAGTGCGGCTGTGTTTTTTGGTACTCATAGATTTTACAGCAGAGGCATTATAAAGAATTCTGTCGATGAATGCTCCGTCCTCACAGGCACCTGAGCCTATTAAGGGATGTGATTTGAACTGTTACTGAAAGAGTGAGATGGTTTTTTTTTTATCCCTCTCCCCCCTCTTCTCGCAATGGGATATTTTTTGGTTCAATACCCCATACAGTAGGTGGCGGCAAAACACCAATAGGTGTGGTTTGCCATAAAACCTTACAGAAGAAGAAGTGGGAACCATATCCTGTGGTGTATACTCCAAGCCTGTATGTGGCAGCAACGTTAATGTTCAGCTACCTTCTAACCATACAACAAGAGCCAAGAGGAAGGAACAAGGCACGAACGAAATAAACCGCCGGTGAACGGCTAGAAAGTTTAGTGTATCCACAAGTTTTAACCTTTTTGTAATTTGATTCAACCAGTGGAAGATTAAGAAGACAATGTAAGTTCAAAAGCATGTTTCACAAAAATTGTTAATTCACAGTAAAACTACCCAGCTAAGATGGATAGCGTATCTAGCTAGCTAGCTAGCGATGATGTCGTTGTTGAAGGATAGGTGTGTTTGATAGATAACAGCTAGCTATCGTATTTTTAGCTAACAGTTCCAGATCAGCTCAATATTAGTTAAACTGGCAAACTCACATTTTTTTTACTAGCGGTATAACGTGATGCTAACATTATATAACTAACGTTAGCTGGCAACAAACCGTATGCTAGCTAATGTAAATTAGCTAGATGTTTCTTTCTTTGTCTGTTCTTTAAAAAAACGTACATTCTTCTCATGTCTTCCCATATACCAAGCTAGAAGATGGCTGTGAACGTTTACTCCACATCTGTGACCGGCGACAACCTTAGTCGCCATGATATGCTTTCTTGGATCAACGAGTCTGTACAGATGAACTACGCCAAGATTGAGCAGTTGTGCTCAGGTCAGTAAAAAATGATAACGTTAGCTAGCTAGCTAGCTGATCTAGATCAAACCAGAAATACGTCCATCGGCATAGCTAACTAGCCTGTGATGGCCGTTCCGATGGTTCATTCAAAAAGCGTGGTAACGTTAGTTATTTTCGACTAACCTTTATTTGGAGATGCATACCTTCTGTCATAAACGTATGTTTCCAGTTGCAGATGGAAATCTAAAAAAATAGAATATTCAGAACATAATAGTGCATTTAATATTTTTCCACCTGCAACTGGAAACTGAAGTTTATAAGACACCTGTGGCTTAAGAATCGAGAAAGAATAAAGTATCACCAGGTAAAGGTTGGACGTTTTTTATTTTTCGTATTGTCAATGGACCCTTTGCTCGACCTCAGGCACAAGTTTAGCTATGTGCTGGAGGTTCAAGCCCACTTGGCCACTAACTACAACATCATCAGCCTATAGGTGTTGTGCATTCGGAAAGTATTCAGACCCCTTGACTTTTTCCACATTTTATGTTACAGCCTTATTCTAAAATGGAGGGAATTTTTTCCTCAATCTCATCAGAATACCCCATAATGACAAAGCAAAAACGGGTTATTAGAATTTTTTGCAAATGTGTTACCAATAAAAAAACTTTTATATCACATTTACATACTATTTCAGACCCTTTACTCAGTACTTTGTTGAATGACCTTGGTTATGACGCTACAAGCTTGGGACACCTGTATTTGGGGTGTTTCTCCCATTCTTCTCTGCAGATCCTCTCAAGTTCTCTCAGGTTGGATGGGGAGCGTTGCTGCAAAGCTATTTTCAGGTCTCTCCAGAGATGTTGGATCGGGTTCAAGTCTGTGCTCTTGCTGTGCCACTCAAGGACATTCATGGAGACTTGTCCCGAAGCCACTCCTGAGTTGTCTTTGCTGTGTGCTTAGGGTCGTTGTCCTGTTGGAAGGTGAACCTTCGTCCCAGTCTGAGGTCCTGAGCACTCTGGGGCAGGTTTTCATCAAGGATTTCTCTGTACTTTGCTCTGTTCATCTTTCCCTTGATCCTGACTAGTCTCCTAGTCCCTGCTGCTGAAAAACATCCCCACAGCATGATGCTGCCACCACCATGCTTCACCATAGGGATGGTGCCAGGTTTCCTCCAGATGTGACACTTGGCATTCAGGCCAAAGAGTTCAATCTTGGTTTCATCAGACCAGGGAATCTTGTTTCTCATGGTCTGAGAGTCCTTTAGGTGCTGTCATTTGCCTTTTACTGAGGAGTGGCTTCCGTCTGGCCACTCTACCATAAAGGCCTGATTGGTGGAGTGCTGCAGAGATGGTTGTCCTTCTGGAAGGTTTTCCCATCTCCACAGAGGAACTCTGGAGCTCTGTCAGACCGACCATCTGGTTCTTGGTCACCTCCATGACCAAAGCCCTTCTCCCCCAATTGCTCAGTTTAGCAGGGCCGCCAGCTCTAGGAAGTGTCTTGGTGGTTCCAAACTTCTTCCATTTAAGAATGATGGAGGCCACTGTGTTCTTGGGGACCTTCAATGCTGCAGAAATGTTTTGGTACCCTTCCCCAGATCTGTGCCTCAACACAATCCTGTCTCGGAGCTCTACGGACAATTCCTTCGACCCCATGGCTTGGTTTTTGCTCTGACAATCACTGTCAACTGTGGGGCCTTATATAGACAGGTGTGTGCCTTTCCAAATCATGTCCAATCAATTGAATTTACCACAGATGGACTCCAATTAAGTTGTAGAAACATCTCAGGGATGATCAATGGAAACCGAATGCACCTGAGCTCAATATCGAGACTCATAGCAAAGGGTCTGAATACTTATGTAAAAAAGGGATTTCTGTTTTTTCTTTGTAATACAGTTGCTAAAATTTCTAAAAACCTGTTTTCGCTTTGTCATTATGGGGTATTGTGTGTAGATTGATGAGGAAAGTTTTTCCTTTAATCCATTTTAGAATAAGGCTGTAACGTAACAAAATGTGGAAAAAGTTTTGGGTCTAAATACTTTCCGAATGCACTGTATATTCATCTACCACCATCTTGGAAACTACTCCCCGTATAGGGAAATTGTACTCCCCACAGATAAGTGGCTTGGGCTGTCATAGGACATTTAGGCAGGAGGTAATGGCAGGAGCAGAGTATTATAGCCAGTGGTGGAGAAAGTTCCCAATTTTTATAGTTGAGTAAAAATAAAGATATCCTTAATAGAAAATGACTCAAATAAAAGTGAGTCACCCAGTAAAATACTACTTGAGTGAGTCTAAAAGTATTTGGGTTTAAAAACACGGACATAATTTACAAAAAAGCAAGTGTGTTTACTAAGTCCGCCAGATCAGAGGCAGTAGGGATGACCAGGGAAGTTCTCTTGATAAGTGTGTGAATTGGACCATTTCCTGTCCTGCTAAGCATTCGAAATGTAACAAGTGCTTTTGGGTGTCAGGGAAAATATATATGGAGTAAAAGGTACATTATTTTCTTTAGGAATGTAGTGAAGTAAAAGTTGTTAAAAATATAAAGTACAGATACCCCACCAAAAAATGAATTAAGTAGTACTTTAAAGTAGTTTTACTTAAGTACTTTACACCTCTGATTATAGCCTAATAAAGTTTAGACATGATTAGCTGGTAATTTAATAAATGATCTTATCACATTCACACAGGTGCCGCTTACTGTCAGTTCATGGACATGCTTTTCCCTGGATGCATACCGTTGAAGAAGGTTAAATTCCAGGCCAAACTAGAGACTGAGTTCCTCCACAACTTCAAACTTCTGCAGACCAGTTTTAAGAAGATTGGGGTTGACAAGGTTAATGCTTCCGAGTGTCTTTAACTCAATGTGTACTTTCGGCTATTGCAGTGTTTCTAAAATATCACATTTCAGCCATTTCTGCCATCGAGACTGATTGACACTTTTTAATCCATTTCCAGATCATTCCTGTGGATAAGTTGATAAAAGGCAAGTTCCAGGACAACTTTGAGTTTGTGCAGTGGTTCAAGAAATTATTTGATGCCAACTACGATGGGAAGGATTATGACCCAGTCAGTGCTCGCCAGGGCCAGGACACTGCTCCTACGCCCAACCCAGGGCAGGTCGCATCCAAGCCAAGGAAGCCCACTACTGGTGAGGAAGAAACATTTATAATTTCTAACATTTTGATGAATATAACATAAATACCTAATCGAAAATATAGCTGCAAGCAACAACGGGGGGTGTGTGGTCTAATCCAAGTTACTCCCAGTCAGCCGATGGAACAAAACAATTGTTCCTGCGTCTTTGATGCTTGCTCCCTTAAATGCATACTGTATGCATTTCTATTTCAGTACAGTTCCACAGCTCCCCACCTGTTATCAAACCAGTGGCGGAAGTCGGTAAGGTGGTTTAATGTTCAAACAGGGATCTCCAATGGTGGGCTTTCACAGTCATGGTCACACTGTGGAAAGGACTTTTGTAAGGCTAGGTCATAGATAGCCTCTAGTAATTTAGTAGGTTATGTCATAAACATCAAAGTTCCAGAATGGGATGAAAATGGCAGCCATATTGGTCAGGGAGAAATTCAAACCAGTCTAATTGGAAGGAATGGCAGTAGAGGCATAATCCTGATTTTACTTATGCGGGAAAATAAAAGCAAGGCATGTGATATATCAGAAATTGTGTAATAGAATTATTGTCAACCTAAAATATTGTAATAATTATAAACAGTTTATACAGGTTTATACACATTTTCTCTATAAATAGCCTCTAAAATACTGTATATGTAAACATAACAGACCTTTAAATGTTTTAATTATTGTTTTCTTGGAAAGCTGTGAGTGCTATGCGAGGAATTGCCAAGAAACTGAAGATCTCGTACAAGCTGTGTACTACTCCCTTCACAGAACAGCGCAAACTGGCTCTAACCAGAATAGAAAGAGGAGTGGGAGGCCCCGGTGCACAACTGGGCAAGAGGACAAATACATTAGTGTCTAGTTTGAGAAACAGGCGCCTCACAGGTCCTCAACTGGCAGCTTCATTAAATAGTACCCGCAAAACACCAGTCGCAACGTCAACAGTGAAGAGGCGACTCTGGGATGCTGACCTTCTAGGCAGAGTTGCAAAGAAAAAGCCATATCTCAGACTGGCCAATAAAAAGAAAAGATTAAGATGGACAGTCTGAGATATTGCAGTCTGAGAAACACCTCTTCACTGTTGACGTTGCGACTGGTGTTTTGCGGGTACTATTTAATGAAGCTGCCAGTTGAGGACCTGTGAGGCACCTGCTTCTCAAACTAGACACACTAATGTATTTGTCCTCTTGCTCAGTTGTGCACCGGGGCCTCCCACTCCTCTTTCTATTCAGGTAAGAGCCAGTTTGCGCTGTTCTGTGAAGGGAGTAGTACACCGCGTTGTACGAGATCTTCAGTTTCTTGGCAATTTCTCGCATGGAATAGCCTTCATTTCTCAGAACAGGAATAGACTAACGAGTTTCAGAAGAAAGTTATTTGTTTCTGGCCATTTTGAGCCTGTAATCAAACCCACAATGGCTGATGCTCCAGATACTCAACTAGTCTTATGAAGGCCAGTTTTATTGCTTCTTTAATCAGCACAACAGTTTTCAGCTGTGCTAACATAATTGCAAAAGGGTTTTCTAATGATCAATTAGCCTTTTAAAATGATAAACTTGGATTAGCAAACACAATGTGCCATTGGAACACAGGACTGATGGTTGCTGATAATGGGCCTCTATACGCGTATGTAGATATTCCATTAAAAATCAGCCGTTTCCAGCAACAATAGCCATTTACAACATTTAACAATGTCTACACTGTATTTCTGATCAATTTGATGTTATTTTAATGGGCAACAAAATTGCTTTTCTTTCGAAAACAAGGACATTTCTAAGTGACCCCAAACTTTTGAACGGTAGTGTATATCATACAATATCAATACTGATTTCAACCATTGTATGGGTGTGTAGGATCCTATAAAATCAGCGTTAAATCCACGTTGCGGAGACAGTGGACGGAATCACAGAATCCAGACATTTAAACGGAATTCAACAATATTCCAGAATGTATTGAACTTAGTAGGAAATCAACTAAATCTATTTAATTTATTAGAAAATGCATTAATTTGCCCAAGATTATCATAAGACATGAACAAAATGCATCAGTGATTTCGTATTTTCCTGACCCTGTGTGTCCGTTTGTCTACCTCGTTGTGTAGCCGTTAGCGATGATGCTAATATAATGACAACCATCTTCTGGTAGATGGAAAGGCTTTCCCCAAACATTTCTTAATTAAATGTTAATAAACAAAGTAGCATATGCCTACCTGGCAGAATATTATTATTTGCATCAATCCAGTGGTCATTTGTTTAGCAAACTCTGGAAGCACATGAGCGCTACAGAAACATTGCTAACTAAACAATGATATCTGGCTGGTGCACAGTTGAATTACAGGGTAACTACACCCACAAATCTACATTTCTTAGATTTTTCCCATGCAGACCTCAAGTGATCTCCTGATGTGGTTTAAGCATTCTTGTTGACTTCGGAAAAAACAAAATTGGATGTTCTATTAAAGTGATTTTGAGATCCAAAACTGGGAAAAACCTAAACAGAATCAGGCAAATTAAACAGATTTTATAGGGCCCTAGCTGTGCATTGAATGCATTGTATGAATGGTATATTGGCAGTTAATTTGACAAATGTATGGAATCATTCTTCTAAAACTGTCTGGCTAGCTAACAGACAGAGTGCAGTTGTATTCTTCAAATTCATTATTTTACACTCTTATCACAGCACTGGTAAACCATTTGAGTGATAATGCCTGAGAAGCCGGTGTTTGGAGGATATATTCGTTGAGGGCCAGCAAACCGTACCAATATATCCGCCAAACACCAGCTTCTAGGGCATTATCACTTTTATACAACGGGTTACCAACATATTCAAATAATGATTGACATGTTATTTTGATGTATTTATTCATAATAGTTCATCCTTCCACAAGATGTATAGTCCCGACACAAATCTATAGTTGCTACCCAAGCCAGCTGGTCGTTCGTTCTATCGGTTCAGTTGCCAGAGACGTGACCCAGTCGTTCAGTCTTTTTTTTCTGTGTCTATGGACTCGACCCAGTCGTTCATTCTAAATGTTAAATTGTCATACTGGCTGGCAACATTCTTATCCCATGCTTGCTAGCTAGCCAACTACGGCAAACTTAGTCACGTCAAACAGTGCAGCCAGAGTAACAGTAGCTGCATTTGCATTTGTTTAAGCTGTTTTCTATTGACATTTATTTGGATACATCCATAACAATGGCATAGAAAATGAGCTCACTCATCAGGACACTGTTGTTCAGAGGAGCTAGCCAACAACACAGCTACAGTAACACAATCACTTCAAACGGAAGCTGTAAAGACCGCAAACTAGCTGCACTTTGTTTCGGTTTACCTTTTTTCAATTGACATTTCTTTGTATATATCCATAAAAATGATGCCAGCTGATTCATGATTTCGACTGGCTGAGAAACGCTGCCTGTCTGTCTCGTCCAGACATGTTTATTACTTTGGGACAGCAGAAGATGGAATTCGAATATTGAAACAATGTTGCAAATGTCGGAGAGACAGACAGCAAGGTTTATACAAATCTCTGCTGTTGAAAACTAAATGTTAGTCTAAAAGAAATGTAAGATAATGTCTAGATGCTTTTTATAGTGGAGATCAAGTTTATAAGTTGCCTAGCTGGGCTGATGAGACAGTGGATTGCGCAGTCAGATGGAACAGAGTAAATAGGTATTTTGACTCCCTGACCAAAATGGCTGACCTTTATCCCATCATACGAAGGTTCATGTCCATTCTAGTATACTATGGGCTAGAAACTGGAGTCAGTGGGTGTTAATGTGCAGTTGTGTGTCTAAGGTTGAGGGCATGCACACAGTCCACAGTTATATTATTCTTTCCTAGTTTGCCAACTGTGATTTGTGTTGGATCCAGCTCCCACGAGGTCTACAACGACAGTAACCAAACCCCTGCCCAGGTCAGCAGGGAGTGCCTTGCGGAGACCCGGAGGAGCAGGGGACGTGGAGAGGGTGGAGCTAGCTCAGGAGGTATGTTCTTTCGGAGGGTCACCACTAAAATGAGTTGTTGATAAGATTTCCCCTCAATCTCCTGTATGGTTTTTGTGTGGTAGGTGAATAGTTTGTTAATGAAATTGAAGCTTGTTTTGTTGTAACATGAGTCATGACAGCCCCGCCCATTCGTTCTCCTATCACTAATGTATTCCCTCTGCTGCTCTCGCCTCAGGTCAGTTCCCTGAAGGCCACTGTCCAGGACATGGAGAAGGAGAGAGACTTTTATTTTGGAAAGCTGAGGTCCATTGAGGTCATCTGCCAAGAAGTGGATGGAGAGGCAGATGCAACTATGCAGAAGATTATGGATGTTCTATACGCCACTGATGTGAGTCAAACCTCACCGGAATACTCTCTGACAGACACAGCTGAGAGACTGTCTTCTTCATTTCATATCATTTTTCATAACCGATTTATTATCTGTAGTAGGAAAGAAATGTGGCGTTGTATTTGAATATTGAAATCAAAATGTTGTTTCCTGCTAACAGGAGGGGTTTGTTATTCCTGATGCTGAAGGAGAAGAACCAGAAGAGTTCTGATGAAAATGGACACAACTGCAGTTCATACCTTAATCACACACTTTTCCATGCACACACACAAACACATACAGGTTGGTGAACACAAGTTTGCATGTGCAACGTTCATACGCACTCGTGTGCTCTAATGAACATGCACTTACCGTACTCACACTGTGGATTAAGTTGCCTCTGGATTATACACTGCCTGCCCCCTTGGTCCAACTGTTTGTTGGACCAAGTGTTTTTTGGACCATAAAATAAAATTCAGAGCCTGCTGATCCAGCCACCAGAGAAAAAGAACCCTGGATACAATTCTAATGGGTCCTTACTTTCTGGTTTATTTTCTGCCTTGTTTTTATTTTGGCCTCTTCTGTGCCTTTTAAACTTTGGCCTGTTAGTTTTGAAATATGTTCAAGTTGTCTTTTTATTCCTTATATATTTCCAATTGACCTAAACAAAACTGTACTAGATTATTTTGATATGATATTTGCAAATATAATTAATTAAATATATATGAATATGTTTACTTTGCCAAAGGAAATTATTGTAATTTTTATGGTATATTTACACATTCATTGTATATTTGAGAGTTAAAATTTGTGGTTTAGGCGATCAGCATTTTCATTTAGTTTCCTGTTTTAAATGATTTATCTGCACAGGTATTCATCACATTACTTTTTTTGATTTTTCAATTAAATGAAGGGTTTTTATTGAGCACCTTAAATAAAAAATAATGTACTTCTTACTTAAATGCTAAATGAAAGAAGACTCATTGTGCCATTTGTGTATTGTATGTAGACTAGATTTACACTCCACTGATCTATGTTGTAATTGACTTCCTCATGTAAGGCAAAGACAGGATGTATGGTTTCTAGTCCACACAGTGAAGAAATACTTCCCTCTAGTCTACAGTTAGAGCAGAACTATACACTCTTACCAGAGGAACTGAGAGCTCTCTTTTAGGACTGAAGTCTGTTTGTGAACTTAGTAGCAATATAAGGCTTCTACAAGCATCTCTTTTCTTTAAAAATGAAGGGTTGGATAAAATAAATTGTTTTTAGGTAGAATAATTAAAATGTTTTGAGAAGTTCAAGGTGATATGTTATTAACTCAAATATGTAAATGTTTCTAATTCAATTTATCTGCTCATTAAAATGTCCTGACAGACTTCTGCATTGCTATTTGCAGTTAGTTCTTGGTAGAATAACTGCAGTAATCCGAAATCAAAACAGCAGTGATATAGGCTAATTCAAAATAAGTATAAACATGCCCATAGTAAAGGGCCATAAATAAAAACATTAATAAATGTCTAGAACCCCACTGCGCATTAGACGTAGGTGGCAGGATGTACTTGTCATACTGGGTGGTGTCTGCTGCCGCTTTTGGGCAACATGGTAGCCCTTTGTGTAGGCCGGATGCTGTTCCTGATAGTGGGGTTCTAGACATGATGGTGTGGACCCTATCCGTGTCATGGTTCTGTATGTCCCGTTGAGAATCACCAGCTCCATCATCTGCGTCTTTCATGTTGTCCTCTCCCTCTGCTGTAGGCACCAGGAGTTTCCTGACCTCCGCTCTCCTCATTCTGACCTGGGCTGTGTCATTCTCTCTGATCAGAACGTACATGTCCTCGTCTAGATCTTCCATGCCAGGTTTGCCTCTCTCTCACTGACCCCCATCATCGCATGTTGATCTGGCATCCGGTTTCTGCTGTGAGCCCACAAGGCCCCAGTATTCTGCCCATGAGGTTAGTCGAGCTAGTCTTTTACAGGCACAAAGCTTCTTCCTGCAGGTGAACGATGGAGCCCGCTGGGCCTTGGGTAACTGGAGGTTGTTTGTCTACAATGCTGTTTATTGGGTCGTTGGACATGTTTTCCTACACACTATTGATCTCTTCATCCATAAGCTTCTCTGTGTCTGTCAAGATGCAAAACAGATTTGGATAACTGGTCATAATGTTTTCGTGTAACGATTGTGTCAAATAGTCAGGACTCTTCTGTCTCTCCTCTTGTCTCCCCGAGTATCATCTTTGTGTCAAGCGTGCAAGGTTTTTTGTAAACAGAAAAAAGCTTGGAAAACCAATTTTTTTCCCTATGCCCTCACATTTTGATTGTTGTAGTCAGAGTCAGAATCTGGTTTAATTTGTTGTTTAAAAAAAACACCCATCTCCATAGATACCATTGATTTATGTTAGGACCTTCTGTCTCACATTGTGACATCACCAAAAGAGCATTATTCTTCTGTGAGCATTTGTGCCTGTGTCAAAGGTGGAAAGCCATGACCAGTGTGAGCTTGTGGACTGTCACAGGGGCACTGTGAAGATGGCCATTACAAGGTCAGACAGTAATATCAATATAAAGCTAGTTTACATTAGGACTTTAAATGTGTTTGATCAATCCGTAAGTGTTCATTGTATTCATTGCCCGTGTTATCACAGCTCCACCTCTGATGACAAGCAGAAACACACCACAGCTCAGGTAAATCCAAAACAAAATAAATCTGCACGCTGGTATGCTCCCCAAAGTGCTCTGTTTTATTTACACAGACAACATTTCCATTCTAATTACCTGGGTTTTTGCCACCTTGTCACCCCCATTTTGTTCACAGTTTTTAATCTGTCTTGCCCTCCTAAGACATTTTCAAGTGAAAGTAGGTTCATGTTGGTTTTAATATCAAATGTGGACTTAAGTCTGCCTGAGGTGCTCTATATGCTCCCTCAGCAGAGTATGGCAGGGGAGACGGAGCGTTCAGGGAAAAGCAGTGACCTCGGGGAGGAGGACATGCCGGCTCAGGGGGGAGTGGAGAATCAGATCAACGAACAGCACCTTCGCCGCATCGAACGCATGTTCAGAGATGCTGATACGGATGGAGGAGGGGGTGAGTGACCCGAACACATTATACCACCTCCCCATAACTAATAGTATACCTCAGTATCATTTTTAGCCCAACCCAGTATCATTTTTAGCCCCTAGTGGATCCCTGCCAGTTTCACCAACCAGCTGCACATTTCTATATAGTGTTGTCGTACAAACTCGCATGGGTCGTTCCATGAAATGAGTCCCTTTTGCGCCTATTTTATATTTTAAGTCAACATTTTGCACCAATATTGAATTTAAAAGCTTATTATATTAAATGAAGTGCCCTTTAATATAGACCACATGTAAAATTCAATACTTCTGATTTGTAATATGAATAAAGACTTGCTAAAGTGACAAAATTCTGCATTGTTGGCTTTAGAGCTTGCAACAAAGGCATTTTACTGTACTTGTGCATGTGACATTAAAACTTGAAAATTCAGCATTTAGGCATGTCCCTCTGTGCACGCTCTGTGACTTCTATTAAGATTTTAACCCACTTAACCCAAAATTGCCCCAAGATTTCACCATCTTTGTCAAAGAAACAAAATAACGAGAGCTTTACAAAGTCATTTCTGGAGATTATTATTTATTTAATGTGATATAGTTCATAGTGATTCATTATAAGGTTCAGATTTTGTGTGGACCCCACCCCCATCTAAGTTGCCCATCCCTGTAATAGATACAGGCTAGAAATGTTTTAACAATTTCAACTTTTTTTTAAAGCTTGCATTCAATTGCCCGTCCCTGTTGCACACAACAAGCTTCCATTCCTCCTGTCACAAGGGGGATTTATGGCTGATTTAAAGATGAAATCGTCAACCCTGTTACGGTCAACCGTTACAATCAACCATGTTACTTTATTTGGCACATAATAGGTACTTACTATAGTAATTTGGGGGGGCGGGGGTTTATTAGGTTGAACATGTGCTCTTTATGACAGAAAGTGAATAATAATACAAATGTATGAAGTTACACTATCCAAAAGGGACTCATTTTGTGTCATTCTCATTCTCTCTGTCAGGGTTGGATATGGATCAGTTCCGGGATGCGATTAAGAAGATCATGGATGATGAGGATGTGGACATTATCTTTATGAAGGTGGACACCAACTGTGATGGCAGAATGGACTGGGTGAGAGAGGAAAACAATGAATGGGAGTGCTGTTTTGTCGTCAGTTGATCAACCCCTCTGGTATGTGACAAACACGTAAACACATTTAAATTCTTACTCTCTTAAACAAAAACTTTGTGTGGTTTTATGCAGGTTGAATATCTGAACTACATGCTTTTAGAGTACAGAGAGAAATACTCTCTGCAGCAGCAAAACAGGCCACTCTACTTTCCCAAACCACTCAAGATTGTGCCTGTGTAAGTGGCATTTCATAGGCTATGTTCTACAGGTTACTAGGTAGGACATGTGCAGTGTGTGCATCCTTAAATATTTCTGTGTCTGTGTAGTGCACACTGTGAGGCCATTGTCCGGCTCCAGTTCTACCATTCCAGCCCCCAGCCGGGGAGATAAGGACAGACTCTGGGGAGCATGGCGGGGCCTCAGGGGGTTCTAAGGGCCGCGCCCACAGTGGACGCTACCTGTCAATCAGCCGTGATGGCGTTCTCAACTACTGGAGCGAGAGGTTCAAGCTGCTGCGCACTGTCAATGTGCGTATTTTTCATTTTCTAGCAGTATATCATCAATAATCAATCAATTCATCATCACAATTTAATTATTTTTTGTAATGTTTGATATGATGTGAAAACTCTGAAGTAATACATGATGTTGACAGAAATGGAGAAAAGACAGATCTGAAACACTGCTACAAAATAGATCATCCCGCAAGCAGATATGCTTCATGTCATGCTTGTGGGATGTTCTATTCTTTAGCAGTGAAACAGTCTCTGCATGTTTTTCTCTGCTCTAGATAAGTCAGATGCAGAACACAGTGGCCCAGCCCATCTGGGTGACAGACATGGTCTGCCTGAGTAACATCAACCAGCTCCTCCACAGGGCGAGACGTAGGTGTGTCTATGGGAATGTCTGTGCAAATATTTATACGCATCTTGTTATGCAGTGATATTATTTTGTACAATGTAACACCTACTGATTTATAGCTACTGTATGATTGTTGAAGTGTTTGTACAGTGTGTTTGTTTTTCTGTCACCAGAATTCTATGACATCAGTGCCAGTAAGTGTGACATAGTGTTCTCCCTGTCGGAGCTGGAGGCCAATGTGGAGGTGATGGACTACTGGTAGGCACAGTTTAGTGTGTACTCCAAAGTGTATACCAAATGGTACCCTATTCCCTATAGTGCACTACTATTATTATTGATGATTATTTCTGTTTAATGGAACATTACTTTTGCAGGCATTTTGTGAGAATAACCCAAACTTTATTTCTCTGCTTCCTTTTAGGACAGATGGTAAGAGAGGAGTGTACTCCATTGGTGATGCCAGTGGCACCATATACGTCTTTGTCTCCTCTGATGTGGTATAGAATGGCCTTTTCAACAGTGCTGCCTTCAAGACAGGTACTGGGTGAAAACCTGCAGGTAAAGATGATAGGTACACATGTTCATGCCGAAGACCAAACTCACTTCTTTGCCTCTTTTTCAGGAACAAACTATCACATCCCTGTGTCAGCCCTGCTCAAAAACACCTCCAGCTTATTTCTCTGCTTTAGAGTCGTAAGTAGCCGATATAACTTTAGTTTTTCCTATTCACGCTTTATTTCCCTCTAGCTCTCTGTGTCATATCTTCCCTTTTTGTATGTTCCAGCCCAGCCATAATGACTGGATCCACCAGATCCGATACATCCCAGAGTTGAATGCCATCGCCACCTGCTGTGCGGCAGACCAAACTGCCATGATCCTGACCACGGTGCCCCACTCACGCAAGTGTAAAATTCAGTATGCCCCCTTTCGCTCACTCCGTCTTTATTTATCAGTGTGTCTATCATGTTACATCAGAGTTTTACAGGACTGTTTAAAGACGCACTCCAGCTATATTTGAACTTTTCGTGTTGAAAAACAATATCCCAAGTATAAATACAGTAATATATACACACTTAAAGTTAACAAAATATGTTTTGAGCAAACTAGGTTTTTTTTAGACACAACTGCAAATTTCAAGGAGTAGGCCATACAAGGAGTAGGCCATACAAGGAGTAGGCCATACAAGGAGTAGGCCATACAAGGAGTTGGTCTGATGTGATGTCATCGGCCTCCCTCCTTGGTTATGGGAACAACTTGTGCCATGTAATGTCATACCTGCACACCTATTGAGTTGTGCTTTTTGTTAAGTAAAGCAGGTGCTAAATGAGCTGAAAAGGAGACTGGAGTGCCACTTTAAAATGCCCTCAATCTCTAATTTCTGATGTTCATTCCACAGATGAATAGACTTGTCTTATTTTTCTTTCTCAGAACTGCACTCTTTCACCTGCAGATGGGAATTCTGTGTTTTGACTACTCACCTGAGCTCAACATTCTGGGTATGTGTAGAAGTAATACTCCGTACAGTGCTGTTTATGACATCTTAAACCAATACATATACAGTCAGTTCCAAAATTATTGGCACCCTTGATAAAGATGAGCCACAAATACTGTATAAAATAAATAATACAAATACTAAGCTATATTGCATGCTCCAAAAATTTTACTTATATTATTTTATACTAAAAACGGAAGCATATTTTCATTCCACTGGTCCTGGGGCCCTTGTTAAGGTCAACGGCATCATGAACTTTAGGAGGCTGACACTTGTCCGCAAGTGGATCTTCTAGCAACCCCAAGCACACATCAAAATCCACAAAGAAATGGTTAATTGACCACAACATCAAAATTTTGCAATGGCCATTGACTTGAACCCCATTGAAAACCTGTGGTGTGAATTGAAGAGGGCAGCCCATAAACGCAGACGAAGGATATCGAGGATCTGGAAAGATTCTGTATGGAACAATGGTCTAAGATCGCTTCCAATGTGTTCTCCAATCTCATTAGACATTACAGAAAAATACTAAGTCTCATCCTCACAAGGGGAGGGTGCTGGAGTATTAAAAACATAGTTGCAAATAACTCTGACCCCTATCTTTGAGATTTTTTTTATTACTTGTTAAATAAAATATATTTCTCTAAGCAAATGTATTAGTATAAATAACATAATTACCCTTTTTTTTATCATGCAATATAGCTCAGTATTTATAATGTTTATTTTGTACAGTATTTTTTGCTAATCTTTATCAAGGGTGCCAATAATTTGGGACCTGACTAGCTGTCAATCTGAATATTATTATTTTGATACAATATCCCATGATGTGTTTGTACCTGTGCTTGTTTTCCAATGTTCTAGTGACCGGATGCTTCGATCGGGTCGTGAGGGTCTGGAACCCCTATGTGACCAATCAGGCCACATCACAGATGAAAGGTCACAACACCGTCATCACTCACATCGCTGTCAACGGCAGAGATAACAAGATCATCAGTGTGTCCAAGGACAAGGTCAGATATCCAGCATTATCACTACAGTGACACTCAATGTCACCCCTTGCCGCCTCAGATTTGTACTGTAATGCTTATTTAGACTATAGAACAGGTAGGGGTCATTTCTTTCTGTTCCAGAATGTGCGTGTGTGGGACCTGCAGGACTGTGTCTGCCTCCAGAACATCCAATCCAAGAATGTCAACATGGGCCGCTTCCCCATCACCGGCACCTACTATAACCACACCAGTAACACGATGGTGATGGCTACGTACCTAGTGTGTGTTCGTTATTGCCTTTTAACATGTGTACACATACACACTGCATTGGTTGTACAAGGTTCTGTGGTATTGCTGTGTATTTATTTCCGTATGTTGTTCTGGGCAGATTGGAGTTCTTCGAGTGTCTATGGAGGATGTAGACAGCTCTGTACCCACAGCTACAACATCACATGAACAAGCACCCTGTGCTGCTCTCTACAACTCCAACTTCAAACAGGTTGGTATGGTTCAGTACTTGTGAGTGAGGTAAGGTCAACTAAGAGATGATCATACTGCTAATTGAAGCTAGGTAAACCCACCTTCTCTCCACTGCTCTGTGCCCAGGTGGTAAGTGGGTGTCATGTGGGCGTGGTCAGTGTGTGGGACATCCTGACGGGGGAGAAGGTCATGCAGTTCCAGACAACCCCTGAGCGACCTGTTGAGGTCACTGCCATGGCATTCGACAGGCCCAAACGCCGCCTCATCACCGGGTCTAAAGACGGCACCCTGCGCCTCTGGAACTTCAACAACGGGGCTTTTATCTCTGAACTGCCCCTGGTGGACAGCAATGAGGTACTACACTGTTTCCTGCAGGGCACTGATCCCCAAGTGACAGACCTCACTCACTTGTCTTTCTTACCACCAAACACTGCCATTCGAGGACAATACTTACTGAAATGACTTGTTGGCAGGTTACAGGGATTCTGTACATCAATGAGAGGATCTATGTATCATGCTGGAGCAAACGGGTCATGTGGTATCTGTGAGTGCGTCATGTTTTTATATCTTTGACTGTATGCAACTTTGAAGCTTTTGCTGGCAATTGGTCAACTTGTGTGTCTTGTGTGGCTTTTATTTCCCCTGCTTATCTGTATGTTTACTTCCTCATGTCTGTCTGTCTGTCCATCCGTGTGTCAGGGACGATAAGGAGGAGGGTAAGATGGAGCACCGTGTGTGGAACCAGTACCACTCAGACGACATCTATTCCATGCACGCCCACGGCAGCAAGATGCTGGTGACCGCCTCCTACAGCGGTGACATCATCGTCTGGAACATAGATTCAGGACAAGCCTTCTGCCGTTTTAACGCTAGCGAAAGCCCACTGCCCCTCATACCCATACGGGTGAGACGAGACACAATGGAGCACTGAAAATACTTTTTTTATTTGCTAGAAACTGTACATAAATATCTGTTTTTCTGTTGATGTTCATGTTGACTTTCTGATCAGGTGATGGAGAAACCAGGCCAGGTGGTGAGTGTTATGTGTCCAGACGGTTTGGTGAAGGAGGATGAGGAGAAGGAAGAGGAGGATGAAGACGATGTGTGGCTCCGCTCTATGGTGGAATTTCTTGAAACCATGAGCCAGACTCTCAACCCTCAGGCTCGTCGTCCCAGCTGTGCCAACCCTGCCCCCAACAACGTCGTACAGGTACACATGGAGTGTGTTTATGGGTGTGTACACCAACGTTAATGAGTATGTGTGTACTGATGTAGAGGTGTGTGTTTGTGTCCCTCAGCAAATAAATCAAGCCCGGTGTTTCAGTATTCCAGATCCCCCTCCTAATCCTGTGATTCAGGGGCCTCGCACCAACATGCGGCATGTAATAGAATGTTTCAATGCTTCATCTCTTTTTGTATGTTGACCATTGTGCAAGGGTTTCCATGTATTGATGTGTGTGTGTATTCATGGGTATGCATGTTTCTGTGCATCCCACAGGGCCGGAAGGGTAGCATCTCGGCTCCAGTCTCTGCTTCACTGCCTCAGTCGGTCACAGTCTCCGTGGCCAGGCGGCCGACACTGCTGTCCAGACGCAAGACCAAGAGAACCAAGACCATCGACCTAGACGAGCTGGAGAAACCTCGGGTTGCGGTGGAGAAGGTACTGACTGACATGTACACTGTAACCTATCTGACGGTTTCAAGAACCAACTGTGAACTAATGTGTTTAATTTACTGCACCCACACTTAGTTATCCTCAGAAATTACATATGAATCCAAATCTACTGCCTGGCCTAAAATTGCTTAGAGATTTGCAGCCCTTTGCCATACTAATATTGGTTGTCTTGATTACCGACAGACGATGTCAATGACTGTCTCTCCCTCTCTCCATATTTCTTTCTCTTTCTGACGAGCAGGTGTTGTTTCTGGACACCCGTGAGCGTAGCCCTGACACGGCCATCCTCCTGACCAGCTCTGCAGACGGCTACGTCTACGCCTGGTCTATCAGCCATAACGGAGGGCTGCTGGGGAAATTCTGTGCTGTGCATAGCAAGGGGCCAATCATCTGCGCCATGTCCACTGACAGCCAGGACCAGATACTGCACACTGGAGACAGCAACGGATACATCACGGTAGGACTGGAGGGGTTGGATACCATAGAATAGTCACTCTGTTGTTTATCTATGTTGGCTACACCAACTGATGTCTTTGAGTGAAGGGGACAGTGGTGAGAAGTGATCAGGGTGGAGACATTGGCAGGATGTTTTACAGATTGACGATCGACTGATAGTATCTTTCTTTTCTTTGTTCACGTCATCCCTCTACAACTGTATTTCCTTTCCACAGCTGTGGGACATTGAGAAGTATTGCTACCGTATGAGGGGTGGGGTGGCTGAGGAGGAATCATCCAATGAAGACTCTCTGAGGTTGCCTCAACTCATACCTCCCTACTGCAAAGTGGAGGGGCCACGGAGACTGGTGGGGGAGCAGGACAAAGAGGTAACTCAACAACAGTACACACAGAACATAATGACACTCCAAAATATGTGTTCAAGTTACAGAGCTTTAGGGAGGACAGGTTTGGATAATCATGAATGCGTAACAGATGTGAAACTAGCTGGCTATTGGTCATTGATGATGTCACCTTCCATAGACGGAACACACTCAATTTTCCACTAATTTCTATTATCCCTCTCTGATCAGATTTTGCGGGGATGGATTGTGTCCCTGACCCCCCCTAGTCTCCTGAGTTCCTGGCGCTGCCACCTGAAAGGGATCGTTCATCTTGAGTATGTGGAGCGTTTCCGCCTCATCGTCACAGCCAGCCTGGACTGTAACGTGCGTCTGTGGACCATCGCAGGCAGATACATCGGTAAGCACCACCACTGTAGTTACATGTATTAGTTTGAGAACATCTTATGCTACCATGTTGTTTTCATGTTGGGTTGCTACCTTGCTGTGTTGTCGTGTGTTGCTGCCATGCTATGTTGTTGTCTTAGGTCTCTCTTTATGTAACGTTAGTGTTGTGTTGTCTCTCTTGTTGTGATGTGTGTTTGGTCCTATATTTAAAAAAAATATTTTATCCCAGCCCCCGTCCCCGCAGGAGGCCTTTTGCCTTTTGGTAGGCCGTCATTGTAAATAAGAATTTGTTCTTAACTGACTTGCCTAGTTAAATAAAGGTTAAATATACACTACCAATGAAAAGTTTGGACACACCTACTCATTCAAGGGTTTTTCTTTATTTTTACAATGTTTTTACATTGTAGAATAATAGTGAAGACATCAAAACTATGAAATAACACATATGGAATCATGTAGTAAACAAAAAAGTGTTAAACAAATTTGAGATTCTTCAAATAGCCACCCTTTGCCTTGATGACAGCTTTGCACACTCCTGGCATTCTCTCAACCAGCTTCACTTGGAATGCTTTTCCAACAGTCTTGAAGGAGTTCCCACATATGCGGAGCACTTTTTGGCTCCTTTTCCTTCACTCTGCCGTCCGACTCACCCCAAACCATCTCAATTGGGTTGAGGCCAGGGGATTGTGGAGGCCAGGTCCTCTGATGCAGCACTCCATCACTCTCCTTCTTGGTAAAATAGCCCTTACACAGCCTGGAGGTGTGTTGGGTCATTGTCCTGTTGAAAAACAAATGATAGTCCCACTAAGCCCAAACCAGATGGGATGGTGTATCTCTGTAGAATGCTGTGGTAGCCATGCTGCTTAAGTGTGCCTTGAATTCTAAATAAATCACAGACAGTGTCACCAGCAAAGCACCCCCACACCATAACACCTCCTCCTCCATGCTTTACGGTGGGAAATACACATGCTGAGATCATCCGTTCACCCACACAATCGACCATGATGGCCTGATTCACACAGTCCCCTCTGAACAGTTGATGTTGAGATGTGTCTGTTACTTGAACTCTGTGAAGCATTTATTTGGGCTGCAATTTCTGAGGCTGGTAACTCTAATGACCTTATCCTCTGCAGCAGAGGTAACTCTGGGTCTTCCATTCCTGTGGTGGTCCTCATGAGAGCCAGTTTCATCATAGCGCTTGATGGTTTTTGCGACTGATGGTTTTTGCACTTGAAGAAACTTTCAAAGTTCTTGAAATGTTCCGTATTGACTGACCTTCATATCCTGAAGTAATGATGGACTGTCGTTTCTCTTTGCTTATTTGAGCTGTTCTTGCAATAATATGGAGTTGGTCTTTTACCAAATAGGGCTATCTTCTGTAATCCCCCCCCCCCCCCCCCCCCAAGAGTGTGCAAAGCTGTCATCAAGGCAAAGAAAGGGTGGCTATTTGAAGAATCTCAAATATAAAATATATTTTGATTTGTTTAACACTTTTTTGGTTACTACATGATTCCATGTGTTATTTCATAGTTTTAATGTCTTCGCTATTGTTCTACACTGTAGAAAATAGTAAAAATAAAGAAAAACCCTGGAATGGGTAGGTGTGTCCAAACTTTTGACTGGTACTGTATATATATATTTTTTAATGGTTCCATTAAATATGTTTTATCACCAACCACAAGGGGGCAGTGTCGGTATGCTCCAACTACTGTATGTGTACTAATACTTACCACTAGTACCCTGTCTGTCTCTAATTCTCAGGTACGTTTGGGCAGGGCCTGTGGCAGGTGGGCGACCCCAACGCCCTCCACACGGAACTCCCAGTGGACCTGAAGAGGATGGGCTCCTGTCAGACACTTAAAGTCCTTAATGAGGGGAAGCACCCGCACTGGAGGTGAGGAGAAAAGTCCAAATGCAAGCCCTTCTGTCTCCATAATATAGACTACAGTATATGGCTGATGACAGAGAGAAAGGGACTGTATACACACAAACACATGCTATCCATGCACTGTCTGATGTTTGACCGGTCATGTCATCTGTCTGCATCTCTTTTGATGCCTTCTTAGCTGTGCCAAACGCATCCTGGAGGGCCTGACTGCACAGAAGAGGCAGCAGTCGACAATGTTTGGTGAGGCTACAATGCAGCTGAGGGAACTGGTTCCTACCGACCCACGGATCGTCAAGTACACCGATGAGCAGATTGAGAACACATGGAGACTGTGGCAGGAGAAGGGAAAGCAGGTGAGTTACAGATGCGAACCACACTCACAGTAGCCTACGCACATCATAGTAAAGTAAAGGACTGACTGCAACTCACGTGTGGTTACTTTGCCTAACGATTAAGTGTTGCTTTAACTGTCCTTCCCTCAGACCAGCAGCATTTTAGGACGAGCATACAAACAAAAAGTGAGACATCACCTTCTGTCCTGTGCCCCTGACCTCCAGACAACCTTCAGCAGTCAAGAGCAGGTAAGACTCGGTTTCCTGGCCTCAGATATGTTGTGCTCTGTCATTTTTGAGAGAGTATTTGTCACCATCTCTGTTGTTCGATGTCAAAAGGGATAATGATGTGCCTGTTTATTTATTGAGTTTGTGTCTGTTTCTCTGTAGTTGAGGGTGTACAAGGCCATGCCCTACAGCATTCTGCGGCCCGTCACCCTGCCCCCCATCCCAGAGCTTCTGAAGGACCATCAGCACAGGTCAAATGAGGGCACAGACACTACCACCAAGCAGAAGAGGAACACTAAGCGCTGGCCCCGCTCACACACACACTGCATGGCTGCTCCTCCACGACCAGCAACTCCCAGGTGCTAATATGACCCTCGCTGAATACACTATACTCAGAAATTAAAGGAGTCTGGCATGCACTATTTCATGTGTTTGGTGTAGTTGTTTTAGACAGATCAGGTCGAGACAGTTCTACAGGACATGTGCAATGACAATTATGCTTTTTATCATATGTGATCAAATGGAGAAGAGCACATAGATTTTTCAAAAAATTGAAATCTTCTCCAAATGTGGACAGTTTATTTGAGGGAAAAAGTCATATGTACAAGTCATGTGTGTGTGTAAGAGTTGTCCCAGGCTTTAGGTCTCCTCTCCATCTGAGAGAGAGTTGGAGTTTGGTTATTAGGTTTTATGTCCGGCTTTGACAGGCCTGGGACCTCCTCTCCTGCTTGGACCAGCCGGATCACTTCCTCGAATATTCTTCAAACCACTCTGGAAATTATAATCCCCCTCTTGCTGTCATATGAATCGAACCGACTGTACAGACTCCATTCCACGCGTAGAATGTTATTGCCTTTCATGAAACTGAGACGTATTGAAATCTGCAAATATATACTTTCATCTACTAGGACAATGTATCTGAGTCTACGTTTTTCTTGTGAAAGTGAAAACAAAGAAGAGTGCGAGGGTAGAACCAACAGGACAAATATAATGAGCGCTCCCCCATTAGAGAATTTAAGTATTTTTGTTGATTTGCTATCTTCTATTGTTTTGCCGGTACTGTCATGGGTTCCACTACTCATGGAAGATAACATTTAATTTGAGCTTTTGAGAAAGGGGAAAAGTTCATGGTAAGCAGAAATGTGACACTATGGGTGTGGTTTAGTGACCCTGCCCCTGAACAAAGCCAGCTGCCAGCCACACCTTGGAGTGGCACCGAAAGGCCTTGGGTAACTGCAGGGGGGTGGCGCATGATCTCTCTATGATGACACTCTTGTTTACTGCACTATACAATTGGATAAGCAAGGCCCTTGGCAGATCTGGGAAAACCATTGTTGGCTTCAGGAGGGGGGGGAAGTCAGAGAGGGAGGTAGAGAGTTCAGGATGTACAGGAAGGCTTCCCTGACTGCACAGTGACAGGACATCTGATCTCATTAACTGCTTAGTGTGGTTTCCCCTTCATTTGTGTGCATGTGACACATAATGACCAGCTGGCCATATACCCTATCCTGTTCTAAGCCCCACTTGTCTGTGGCTGAGGTAGGTCTCAAGGTGAGCTATCAACTTTGCTCTTATGACCTGCTCAGGCCACTGATCAGATGCAGGGCTAGCATGTCATGACTTTGTTACACTGGTCAGATGAGCTCACCTAACCCACAGGGCGACAGTACATTATGTACACTACGAGTATGGACAACATTAATTACAGCATTGCATAGTATAGTTTATTCATTCTGACAGTAATCATACAAAATATTATTTAGTTCTATAAGCTAATACAAAATCAATGAGTACTGACAATTTTAATTGCCTTGGTGGATAATTTTTTGTTGTTGTTGCATATTGTAAAAGGATGAATTGCCATGGGCTGAACTGAAAGAGAGAAAAAAGCAATTATAGCACAGATAATAGGCATGTATGTATCTCAAATAACTGTACCCCCTATCATAATGGGTTCTAGAGTACTTCCATTATATCCCTTCATCCTGACGGCTGAATGCAGAATTCCAGAACACAGGCCTTGGATTCTCCATGTCCCTCGTAATCTTTGTCAGCTGTCCAGTGGTGTCAATGTGTTACTGCCTCCACCCCCTCACTCACAGTTGGAGTTGGGCTCTCCTGACCCACCACCGTTTACAGCTGAGGAGTATCTATGTCGCTGTAGCTTGGTCGGGGTCAAGGCGTTTCGTTGGGTGGAGGAGCGAGATGATCGGGCAAAGCAGAAGGACAAGGACTTGGAACTGCTACAGTCATAGTTCCTATCCTGAGAGAGGGAAAGAGGGAGGGAGAGAGAGAATGAAATAAAAACGGTTATAGCATGTTAATTTGTTGAGTATATTTTATGATTTATGCCTATTCCTTTCTCAAAACCATGTGGAATAACATACATTAGCCACTAAATTGAATATGAGTGAAGTACAGTATGTATTCAGTGTGTGGATCCTGTGTTGGGTAGGCCTTCTGTACTTACATCCAGTGTCACGTTACTCTCCAGGCTCAGTTCTCTTCTGACAGCCTGGTTCTGACTGGGGCATATATGGCCCCTGCATGCTTCCTCTCTCTGCTTCATGAACCTCTGGTTCACAATCCTGGTGACACTGTCGTTCCTGTGTACTGGTGCAGCAGGGGGACGAGAGGGCCCTCGCTCCAGGGTTTTATGAGTTGGACTGCATTTCCCCTTCTGGCCCCCGCCTGATGCTGGTGCTGGGGCTGGCTTGTCTGCCCGACCACTCATTTTGCGTAGGAACTCAGTGACTAGGCCGTACCGGTTGGCCCCAGCAGGTTTGCTGGTGGGTTTAGTGTTGTTTCCACCACTGCTCAACTCACTGTTTATTGTACTATGGTGGATAAGCCCTGGACCGGCTCTGGGATTGGTGGAGCGGGCCCATGTTGACCCAGCTGGACCACGATGGGACAGGCCCCATAAAACACGCTCGCTGCCAGGGGTGGAGGAGTTGGGGGTTGTGGTGTTGGACGTGGTGGTGGTGAAACCAGTTGTGGAGGAAGGGAAAGAGGAGGAGGAGGTGATGGAAGATGGAGATGAAGCAGAGGCAGAGTGTCTGCGATACAGTTTAGGGGAGGTGGAGCCCGACTTGGGCCTTTCTGTTCTACCTGGAAGCCTCTCCAGGGAAGTAGAGATTTGTTGAGCACGGGCAGAAAGCCGTGAAGGGGAGGCTCTCACTGAACCGATACTGTAGGGCCCATCCGTCTGTAGACCCACACTCACCATCTGTGGGTGCATCTGGGTCTGAGTCCCTGAGGTGGCGACATCCACCGTCCACCCCCCACTCATGTTCACCCTCCCCTTCCTCCTCTCTGGCGAACTGGAGTGAACTGCCTGTCGTAAGCTAGCTGTCATCTCCTTCATGTCGTCGCTCAAGTTAGCGGAGAGCCTCAGACATAGGGGAGTGAGAGAGCTTCGGGACGTACTAAGACCGGTGGAGATTACACTGGTAGTACCATTTCTATCAGTGTTGGTGCTGTGCCTAAGATGAGCCAGATGGACTCTCCTTGCAGACAGGGGACTGAAGTAGATGCGGAGGACGGTTTTCTCTGGGGCAGTGTGGCTCCTTTCCAGGGACAACTGGTCCAAGTGTAGATTACGGAAGCTAGGAGGCATGATGGGATGGTCCCAGGTCTTAAACGGGTCCCCTCTGTCCAACTGAGCAGCCTCATGGCTGAGATAGCACCAGTTCTTCTTGGACCCAAATGTAGAGCTTTCTGGTCTGATCTTATTTCCTGTCTGTGAAGAAATAAGAGTCTGCAGATTATGGTGGAAAGAGCAGAGAAACACATGGAAAACAGCCATGTAAAAAAATGTCTGCTCTTCCTAATTCACAGACTCACTGGGCTTTGTCTTGTGTTTCTGTCTTTCTCCTGGCAACAACTAAAATATTTACAATTGTTTTTATTTGATTTAAATTGCTATTGTGTTTGCCAGGAAAATAATATTCTATACATTAAAATGTAATCATGGAGACCACAAACCTGTTTTAAGTTATCATTTAACATGTGGTGGGAGAAACCACTTCCCCGTTTAGCGTTTTGAGCATTTAAAGTGACGAATAGACGTACATAGGATAAACAGAATGTGAGTGTTTTACACTTGAAATGTAGCCTACTATTGTTTTTGGACAACTATCCTCAGACCACAAAGTCGGGAAGTAGAGTGAGTCACATGAGTTCAGGGCACTTTCTTTTCTACCCACACTTCATTCCAAGTTTCTCTCCCACACTCTGCTTTTTATCACCCTCTTTCTCCCTTTCACCCTCTTTCTCCCTTTCACCCTCTTTCTCCTTTTCTTTCACCTTTTCCCTTTCTTACTCACACATTTTCCCTCTCTGTCTCTGTCTGAGTCTTGTAATGTAGTCGATGCACATGCCGGTCCAGCAGTCCTGCTTTTGGCAGTAGCCCCCACGAGCTTAGCCTAAATACTGTGGCACAATTGATCTTATGATGGGTGTACTGAGTGCAGGCAGGCCAGGGGGAATCCCTGCCAGATAGAAGCCATCAGCTGGGCTTACTGCTGAATCCCATCCCATCACATGCTCCCAAACACAACACAGGACAGATGGAAATGGGCGCCTGGCGGCTGGAGGAAACAGAAAAAAGGGGGAAGAGAGAAAATAAAATACTTCCTTACCTCAGTCATCTCACTCTGTGTGTCCATAGGGTGACTTGGCTGGACTGAATAGCCCTGTGCCCTAGTCTTACCAGTGCTGCACTCCATCTGAGATATTACAAGAAATAGTAAGGTATTACAGTCTTTGGTGATTTCTCAGAATCAGGATATCTGTCTGATACACTCCTTGCCTTAGAACATAACAGTGGTGTATCCCTCATTGTAAGGGACAATGTACTTAAAGGGCCATTCCACCACTTTTCAACATCTCCAGCATGATACCAGTGTCTACATATGTGAAAACGGCGGGTTTCTATGTTTTGTAGTAAAAAAGCCATATCTCAGACTGGCCAATAAAAATAAAAGTTTAAGATGAGCAGTCTGAGATCTGGCTTTTTATTTGCAACTCTGCCTAGAAGGTCAGCATCCTGATGTCGCCTCTTCACTGTTGACGTTGAGACTGGTGTTTTGCGGGTACTATTTAATGAAGCTGCCAGTTGAGGACCTGTGAGGCGTCTGTTTCTCAAACTAGACACACTAATGTATTTGTCCTCTTGTTCAGTTGTGCACCGGGGCCTCACACTCCTCTTTCCATTCTGGTTAGAGCCAGTTTGCGCTGCTCTGTGAAGGGAGTAGTACACAGCATTGTACGAGATCTTCAGTTTCTTGGCAATTTCTCGCATGGAATAGCCTTTATTTCTCAGAACAAGAATAGACTGACGAGTTTCAGAAGAAAGTTATTTATTTCTGGCCATTTTGAGCCTGTAATCGAACCCACAATTGCTGATGCTCCAGATACTCAACTAATCTCAAGAAGGCCAGTTTTATTGCTTCTTTAATCAGCACAACAGTTTTCAGCTGTGCTAACATAATTGCAAAAGGGTTTTCTAATGATCAATTAGCCTTTAAAAATGATAATCTTGGATTAGCAAACACAACGTACCATTGGAACACAGGACTGATGGTTGCTGATAATGGACCTCTGTACGCCTATGTAGATATTCCATAAAAAATCAGCCGTTTCCAGCTACAATAGCAATTTACAACATTAACAATGTCTACACTGTATTTCTGATCAATTTGATGTTATTTTAATGGACAAAATAAAATATTTTCTTTGGAAAACAAGGTCATTTCTAAGTGACCCCAAACATTTGAACGGTAGTGTATGTAGACACTGGTATGGTGCTGGAGATCATGAATATGAGGTTGAAAAGTGGTGGAATTGCCCTTTAAGTACTATATCACAGTCATATCAACTTATTTAATTGGACAGTCACTTCATAGGCTGAGCCCACAGCGGGACAGTGGCATTAGCTTACCTTGGAGATGAAACCGTTCCAGTCTGATGCCCATGTGGCCTTGGAATCCTGTCCTGCCATGCTGTCCTCTGAGTCCTGCAGCTCTGTACCCAAATACTGCAACAACCCGTGTAGCATAGACATAGTCGTAGGATCTCTGCTCTGTAAAAACCAACAGTAAAACATACTTTTAATCTTGGCTTTCATGGTTACTTGCAGAAAGAAATTGATTTATGAAAATGTCAGTTACAGTATGTTGCAATTCATGTTCCCCTACATTCCCCTCCTCTCATACCTCCTTGTCCTCCAGGCCAGATCCCTTCCTCAGACAGTGCTGATGGAGGACCCAGAGCATCTTTAAGGTCAGCTGCATTATGGGGTCCATGCAGCTGTCGAGGTGGTCTGACTGTGTTGCCCGTTTCACTTTCTCCTTCAGTACTACTGTGCGCAGTCCTTCACCAGTTTCCTGCTTGGCTAAGACCTCTGTGTTGTTCTTTGTGTCCTGATCAGCCAGGGAGGGGATGACGGTGGGATCCCCATCCCCTTCAACCCTCAACTGTCCTCCTGGTGTCACCAGGCTCTCCACCCTCACAATTAAGGCCAACAGCATGGCCTGCAGAAGCTCCAGAGCCTCATACAGGTGGCTTTGCATGAGTGGATCCAGAGCCAGAGGCTGGGCTTTACCCTGAGGGTAAGACTTTGCCCGGGTAAGGTGGGGAGATAAGGGGGGGTAGCTGTGGCCATTTTTGGCCGGTGAGGCAAGAAGCTGGATAGCTGAAGTCACAAGGCAGGCATGATCTCGCAAGGCAAGGAGGGCCTCATGATCTTTCGCATTCAAGGCATTGGCAACACTGCCTCTGCATGTATCACTGTGCTGGTTGTCCAGGGGCTCCCGTTCCCCACCTGCAGGCCCCTCTCGAGGGCTCTGATTGAGGGGACCCAACCTCTCCATCTGGGATTGGTCTCTATGCTGTATTTCCATTACTTCCACCTGAGAACACTTAATCACGCATCTCCTCTGTCCCTCCCTCGCCTCTTCCTCAAACTGCATGTACTCCATTGTCAAACCCCTTTCACCTCCCTCTGCATCCCTAACATGGGCTGGTGGTAAATCCCCATGTTCCCTGGCCTTCTCCTGCGGTGACTCCTCTTCCTCCTCTCCTCCTCCTCTACCACTATCCCTCATGTCGCTCATCTCCGCCCGGAGACCACGGTTCTCCACCTCCAGCTCTACAATACGGCGGCTCAAGAGCGTTGCTTCCTCCTCCACCAGCCGCAGGTGAACCTTGACCTCTGCCTCCCTGGTGTGTGGGGAATTAGCAGTGCCACCCTCAGAGGAGTGGGCAGCAGCGTCTACATCTCCGTAGGCCGAGCGGTACTTTGCCAGCTCCTCACGCATGCCCTCACTCTCCGACACCATCTTGGTCAGCTTCTTGCACATGAGAGCTGATTCCTCCTTTGCGAAGTGGAGCTGGCACTTTAGATCAGCACTGTCATCCTGAGGAATCAAATCACACAGATATAAAGAATCCTAACTTGTGATATGCAGTCATAAGCTATTTAAGATGTTAATAACATGATAATAACATTAAACTTTACCTGAGGAGACAGCTTCTTCTCAGTCTTGCAGGTTTGTGATCTAGCATTTCTCCTCTTCAAAGAACTCTGTGGAGTATAACAAATGTCAAAGAATGCTGAAGATTCAACAGTACTATTCACAGCATCGTTACCACCCCATGAAAACATGACAGAGGAGAGGATATATTTGTCAAATGTCATCCAAGAATGAACCCCTCTTTCTTTCAGCTCTCCTCGCCTGTCTCCTTCCTGTCTGTCACTCCTGTGTCTTTGACATTAATATAGACATTCTTACAGGAAATCAGTGTTTTCTCACAGCATTTGCAGTGTCTAAGAAACACAAACCAAGAGAGTCAAAGTATATATGTACACAAATGAATTAGCTCCATTACAAACTCACTATTTTTCTCTCTCTTAGAAAGTTCCATTAGAGTGCAGCACTTCATGTATGAGTTGGTATGTTTTCAGTGCTGACTATGAGAGGAATGTAGGCTGGTGTCACCATGTCAGTCTCTGTCTGCAGCTTTATCTGGTGGCAGGCAGGGGTCAAAGAGGTTAAAAGGACTAAAAATAATCATCTTACTGAGGCGTTGCAGTGGGAATTACGAATAAATAACCACATTAATATAACCCTATCTGTTGGTCTGTTAATGAACTAACCCAGAGGCAGTGAATGGCATTGAAAAAACTATAATCGCCAGTAGAACTGCATGATTCTGCATTTCACATATAAATATTATGTGAGTAATACTACCCTTCAGGACTCAGTTCCATAAGCAAGGCAGCAAACCACACAGACAACTTGCAGTAACAGTAGTTCTTCCATGTTGACTAGCTTCCCTGGTACTAGTCTGCCCAGATTAGGTCATCTAAGTGGATTTCCTAGTCAGGATCAGAGGGAGTAGCAGCTGAGCTGACGCCAAAGCACTGAATCCTGGATTAAACTAAAGCACGTGTAGCTGGACTGCACTGCACTATAATAAAAGACCTGGGCTCCTCCATGGTCGCCAGTTGATGACATTCAGTGATAATATGCCAGCATGCCAGTACCTAAACCACTGTCTTTTTGATGCCGTAATACATCCTCCTTACCCAGATTTACCCATGCTTAATAGAACCAGAGGAGAGAGAGAGAGGAGACAGAGAGAGCTATTGATCTATTTTGGTCCGTCTTTCTCTCTCTCTCTGTAATCCCTGGTGCAACCTGGTCTCAGAGAATTTCATATTATTCTGTACGTAAATCCGGGACACTCCGTTTAGTATGATGTTACATTTTGTATGGTATGTATTCATTTGTGGATGTCCATCACCCATTTCGTATGATATGTTATGAATTACAATTCGTATTATGTTACCAATTCTAGTTACGTGGCTAACGTTAGCTAGCTCGCTATCGTTAGTTAGGCTAGGGGTTAGGGTTGAGTTTAGGAGTTAGGGGGAAGGGTTAGCTAAAAGGGTTAGGTGGAGGGTTAGCTAAAAGGGTTAAGGTTAGGAGAAGGATTAGCTAACATGATAAGTAGTTGCAAAGTAGCTAGTTGAAAAGTTACTGATTAGCTAAAATGCTAAAGTTGTCCGTGATGAGATTCGAACTCGCAACCTTTGGGTTGCTAGACTTTTGAATTATACGCCCACATACCCTACTTTCGTTTTTTCCTTAAGTAACCATCTGTCTTATGTAATCATACCAAACGTAACATATCATACTAAATGGAGTGTCTCGGATTTGCGTACAGAATAATATGAAATGCTCTGAGACCAGGTTGCCTGGTGAGAAGAATGTCAGCTGTGCCCCCCATGTTCAGCCTCCTACATGCCACACCCGTCTCCCACGCCCACCACCCAGCAGTCAGCTGCTAGCAATGCCCGCAGTCTTCAGCCCAGCAAAGCCCTAGGATCCAGTCAGGGTCATGTGTCACCTCACCTCAGAGTGACAGCAGGATAGATGGGGGAGTACCTAACTGGGTGGAATGGGGCAGCTGTAGTGTATATACTAGTATATGAAGGAATAGGACTGTGAACCAGAGCGGTGTGGGTTAGTGGTGGGGTAATGTTTAAAAGGATACCACTGAGGGCAGTGGGTTAAACTAATACAGTGGGTGGTGGATAGTAGTAGTTGATGGTGGTGTGTAAAAGTAGTAGTACCTCTCTGGCTTTCTCCATCTCGGCCTGCAGAACTTGCTTCGCCACCTCCAGCTCCTGCTGCATCTCCCGCAGTGCCTCATTCTCCCACTCTAGCCGGGAGTTCTTCTCCTGCACTGATTCCAACTCATTGTGCAGGCGGAGGGATACACTCTTTGCTACCTGTAAACAGAAAAACCTGATAAAGCACTGACTGACAATAATTGTCCTCACTATAACTGCCTTCATTAGCGGTCGTTATTGTCATAGTAGTGCATTCATTTGGTTTATTTTTTATTGGAAATCAAAAGGTCCTTTCTCAGATATCAGCTTTCAGAACAACAACCTGTTATTGATGTTGTCATTGATGTAATAAGGTGAATGAAATATCCCTGGAGGGGCAACCTGTGATCACACACAGAAACGCATAAATGGCCCTCCCTTTGGCAAATCTGAGAGTAACTCTATCCTCCTGATTCCTGTTTACAAGCAAAAACTTAAACAGAAAGTACCAGTGATGCGCTCAATACGGAAGTGGTCTGATGAAGCAGATGCTAAACTACAGGACTGTTTTGCTAGTGCAGACTGGAATATGTTCAGGGATTCAGCCGATAACATTGAGGAGTTTACCACATCAGTCACCGGCTTAATTAATAAGTGCATCGACGACGTCGTCCCCACAGTGACCGTGCGAAGCCATGGATTACAGGCAACATCTGCACTGAGCTAAAGGCTAGAGCTGCTGCTTTCAAGGAGCGGGACACTAATCTGGATGCTTATAAGAAATCCCACTACGACCTCCGACGAGCCATCAAATAGGCAAAGATTAAATACAGGACTAAGATCGAATCCTACCATGCCGGCTCTGACGCTCGTCGGATGTGGCAGGGCTTTGCAAACTATAACAGGTTACAAATGGAAACCCAGCCACGAGCTGCCGAGTGACGCAAGCCTACCAGACGAGCTAAATGCCTTCTATGCTCGCTTCGAGGCAAGCAAAACTGAACCATGCATGAGCTCACCAGCTGTTACGGACAACTGTGGGATTTCGCTCTCCGTAGCCGATGTGAGTAAAACCTTTCAACAGGTTAACATTCACAAGGCCGCGAGGCCAGACAAATTACCAGGATGCGTAATCAGAGCATGCGCTGGCAAGTGTCTTCACTGATATTTTCAACCTCTCCCTGACCCAGTCGGTAATATCTACATGTTTCAAGCAGACCACCATAGTCCCCGTGCCCAAGAACGCCAAGGTAACCTGTCTAAATCACTATCGCCCCGTAGAAACTCACATCTGTTTGCCTGGCTATCCAAACTTCTTGCTCTTGTCAAACGCTATGCCATGCCCACAGATGTTAGTTTCTTCTCAGCAATGAGTCTGGATCTGAATACCTCCCCGACTATTTCTAAAATGGAAATCCATTCTAGACTGTCTAATTGGACCCAGAAACCGATGGGTTGGGCCAAAGCCAGAACACACGTGGGTAAAGCTGTGTTTTGAGAATTTGTCATCTGATTGGTTAGAAATGATCCAATTGCTGATTAATATGTTTTGTACAACACCCCTCATTTTGACTTCACCACAAATAACTTCAATTATCAGTCTCAGTGAAGTATGTAGCGAACGATAGAGCAGCGGAAGAATTCAGTTTGAGTCGTCAGGCAATACATCTGTAGCCATGAAATACTTTGAAAGGCTGGTCATGGGCCATGGCTCACATCAACACCATCATCCCAGACACCTTGGACCCACTCCAATTTGCATACCGGCCCAACAGATCCATAGATGACACAATCTCTATTGCACTCAACACTGCCCTCTCCCACCTGGAAAGGAAGAACACCTACACTACATGACCAAAAGTCTAGTTGAACATCTCATTCCAAAATTATGGGCATTAATACGGAGTTGGTCCCCCCTTTGCTGCTATAACAGCCTCCACTCTTCTGGGAAGGCTTTCCACTAGATGTTGGAACATTGCTGCAGGGACTTGCTTCCATTCAGCCACAAGAGCATTAGCGAGGTCAGGCACTGATGTTGGGCGATTAGGCCTGGCTCGCGGTCTGCATTCCAATTAATCCCAAAGGTGTTCGATGGGGTTGAGGTCAGGGCTCTGTGCAGGCCAGTCAATTTGTTCCACACCGATCTCGACAAACCATTTCTGTATGGACTTCGCTTTGTGCACGGTGGCATTGTCATGCTGAAACAGGAAAGGGCCTTCCCCAAACTGTTGCCACAAAGTTGGAAGCATAGAATCGTCTAGAATGTCATTGTATGCTGTAGCGTTAAGATTTCCCATTCACTGGAACTAAGGGGCCTAGCCCGAAAAACAGCCCCAGAATATTATTCCTCCTCCTCCACCAAACTTTACAGTTGGCACTATGCATTGGGGCAGGTAGCGTTCTCCTGGCATCCGCCAAACCCAGATTCCTCCGTCGGACTGCCATAATTCCAGAGAACGCATTTCCACTGCTCCAGAGTCCAATGGCGGCGAGCTTCACACCACTCCAGCTGACGCTTGGCATTGCGCATGGTGAACTTAGGCTTGTGTGCGGCTGCTTGGCCATGGAAACCCATTTCATGAAGCTCCCGACGAACAATTATTGTGCTGACATTGCTTCCAGAGGCGGTTTGGAACCCAATAGTGAATGTTGCAACTGAGGACAGACGATTTTGATATACTATGCACTTGGCAGTCCCGTTCTGTGAGCTTGTGTGGCCTACCACTTCGCGGTTGAGCCGTTGTTGCTCATAGATGTTTCCACTTCACAATAACAGCACTTACAGTTGACCGGGGCAGCTCTAGCAGGGCAGAAATTTGACGACCTGACTTATTGGAAAGGTGGCATCCTATGCCACGTAGAAATTCACTGAGCTCTTCAGTAAGGCCATTCTACTGCCAATGTTTGTCTATGGCGATTGCATGGCTGTGTGCTCAATTTTATACACCTGTCAGCAACGGGTGTGGCTGAAATAGCAGAATCTACTAATTTGAAGGGGTGTCCACATACTTTTGTATATACAGTGCATTCGGAAAGTATTCAGACCCCTTTACTTTTTCCACATTTTGTTACGTTAAAGCCTTATTCTAAAATTGATTAAATTGTTTTTCCCCCTCATCAATCTACACACAATAACCCATAATGACATAGAAACAATTGTTTTTAGACATATTTGCAAATGTATAAAAAAAGAACAATGTAAATATCACATTTACATAAGTATTCAGACCCTTTACTCAGTACTTTGTTGAAGCAACTTTGACTGTGATTACAGCCTCGAGTCTTCTTGGGTATGCAAGCTTGGCACACCTGTATTTGGGGAGTTTCTCGCATTCTTCTCTGCAGATCCTCTCAAGCTCTGTCAGGTTTGATGGGGAGTGTCGCTGCACAGCTATTTTCAGGTCTCTCCAGAGATGTTCGATCGGGTTAAAGTCCGGGCTCTGGCTGGGCCACTCAAGGACATTCAGAGACTTGTCCCAAAGCCACTCCTGCATTGTCTTGGCTGTGTGCTTAGGGTCGTTGTCCTGTTGGAAGGTGTTCCTTCGCCCCAGTCTGAGGTCCTGAGCGATCTGGAGCAGGTTTTCATCAAGGATCTCTCTGTACTTTGCCCCGTTCATCTTTCCCTCAATCCTGACTATAGTCTCCCAGTCCCTGCTGCTGAAAAACATCCCCACAGCATGATGCTGCCACCACCATGCTTCACCTTAGGGATTGTGCCAGGTTTCCTCCAGACGTGACGCTTGGCATTCAGACCAAAGAGTTCAATCTTGGTTCCATCAGACCAGAGAACCTTGTTTCTCATGGTCTGAGAGTCCTTTAGGTGCCTTTTGGCAAACTCCAAGCGGGCTGTCATGTTCCTTTTACTGAGGAGTGGCTTCCGTCTGGCCACTCTACCATAAAGGCCTGATTGGTGGAGTGCTGCAGAGATGGTTGTCCTTCTGGAAGGTTCTCCCATCTCAACAGAGGAACTCTGGAGCTCTGTCAGAGTGACCATCGGGTTCTTAGTCACCTCCCTGACCAAGGCCCTTCTCCCCTGAATGCTCCGTTTGGGGCCGTGCGGCCAGCTCTAGGAAGAGTCTTGGTGGTTCCAAACTTCTTCCATTTAAGAATAATGGAGGCCACTATGTTCTTGGGGACCTTCAATGCTGCAGACATTTTTTGGTACCCTTCCCCAGATCTGTGCCTCGATACAATCCTGTCTCTGAGCTCTACGGACAATTCCTTCGACCTCATGGCTTGGTTTTTGCTCTGACATGCACTGTCAACTGTGGGACCTTATATAGACAGGTGTGTGCCTTTCCAAATCATGTCCAATCAATTGAATCTACCACAGGTGGACTCCAATCAAGTGTAGAAACATCTCAAGGATGATAAATGGAAACAGGATGCTCAATTTCGAGTTTCATAGCAAAGGGTCTGAATACTTAAGTAAATACGGTATTTCTGTTTTTTTCTTTTTAATACATTTACCAACATTTCTAAAAATCTGTTTTCACTTTGTCATTATGGGGTATTGTGTGTACATTTTTGAGCTATTATTTTTCTTTAATCCATTTTAGAATAAGGCTGTTACATAACAGAATGTGGAAAAAGTGAAGGGGTCTGAATACTTAACGAATGCACTGTATATTTCTTAATTCTTTTAGATTTGTGTGTATTGTTAGATATTACTGCACTGTTGGAGCTAGGAACACCAGCATTTCGCTACACCCGCAATAACATCTGCTAAATATGTATTGTATTGGGATTTTGACGATAAAGCCGTATCAGTAAAAAATACATTAGATGCTATTTCCACTTGGAACCGGTAGGTTCGATAGACCTTATTTATGGTTTCAACGCGTGTAAAGGTGGTGGAATTATTAGGGAATTACGGTAAGTAAAGGTCAGAATACGGCATATCTGTAGACACACCTCCGCCACACCTTCATTTATTCGATCACCCAAAACGAATAGCGGGTGAAAAGCATGCTTTTCTCATGCTTAAAGGGATACTTCAGTATGTTGGCAATAATGCCCTTTATCTACTTCCCCAGAGTCAGATGAACTCGTGGATACCATTTGTATGTCTCTGTGTCCAGTATGAAGGAAGTTAGAGGTAGTTTTGTGAGGCAATGCTATCAGTCATTGTGTTAACGCTAGTTAACAATTGCTCTTGCGCTAGTTAGCAACCTCCTTCA